CCAAGAAACGCTGTTGGCCCTGCAGCATTCATCAGCTCGCTTGGCGTTTTGATAGCCCCAGTGGCATTATCGGGATCACCATACTCCTGTAAGCAGAATGAAGTAGATTGTGTTAGCGAGTGGAAAACGACACATCCAGTAGCCAGCTCAGTTGAGTTCGCGTCTATGTCATTGCGAAGTGTGACAGTTTTGATTCGTCAGAAGCGGTCGCAGTCTCCAATAAACTTACACTTCAATGTAGTCCCAGTTGTCTCTGGCGCCATATCTCAAGGTCTGCAGCTCCTTCTCGAATTGCGCCAGCTTTGTGCTGCCTTTCTTCTTTAGTCTTTCTGCCTTTGAAGCAAGCAACCCGCTCGGAATCGCAAACTGCATTATATAATATTATATAACAATATCAACATGCTATGTTTGTCTTCTTTGAAGAGATGCAGAAAGATGCATGTATGTAAGAGATGATACAGAAGTGTCAGCTTGACAAGCACTTTCCGAAGAAACAAGTCTAAATATGGTGACTGTCACACACAAATACAAAAGACAACACAGCTTTCTAAATTTGGTTTCAGGACCACACACATTTTTGCGAACTAGCGTTTCAACACGGTAGCTTTGCCAGACAAGTTTGCAATCTGCTCCATCAACCAGAACAGTCGATAGGATGTCAGTTGTACTTTCCATCATGCGAAACCAAGACATACCAAGACAATTGTGGACCAATTCGATCGCCCTTCAAGGAAGAAATCACGACAACAGGTCGTCCCTGTAATATCTATTATTCTGAACCCATAATTGTTGACACAAACTTATAGTGAACACAAAACTGCAGAACATACGTACAAGTAGGACACAATCAACTCACAGTGTGAGTAGCAACATTGAAACAAATGGAACACCGCTGTCACAAACGAAGTTGACTATACAGCTTGAACTCCCTGTGGAGGTGGGGTGTCAGCAACCCGACCTCTTCTTGCTCTTTCATCTCTGCAACGTATTCGGCTGCGGTCTGGCAGTTGCAGTCAAATACAACAGCAAAGTAAGAACCCTTCAGGGAAGAGAGCAACTGGGACAAGGATGGACAATTTCAAATTTCCAAATTTCTTGAGAGGCCAGCCATTGTCATGCCTAGCTCTATAGTTGCCCAGCTTCACGGAGACGCTCTGAGACTCAAATCCGATAGGCTATATGATGCTGGAACAAAATGAAAGAACATGATTGTATGTCCAGAATACACTTAACGAATCTTACACCAAGGGTTATTGAATGTTATTGACTGTCTTGGCGCCCCTCCATTGAATATGATTCAACTACGGACGCATCTCCAATGTCATGCATATGTCATGCATATAATATATATATTATATAATATAATATATATAATATGTGTATATATATATATGTCATGCATCTTTGCACATCTTTGGTTTCTGCTCCCGTCTCCTTGTCCATGCGCGGCTTTGGGGGCGTGGGATCTGGGGGACGCCATCGCTTCGGCATGGCTTCAACTAAGCCCAGTGGCTCAAGGAAGTTACGCACAATGAAGCGAACTGACTTGCGTCTTGAGTCTTTACTGTACGAACTGTAGATTATTTTTGTTGTTTATTGTTGTTTGTACTTCTTTTATTTTTTTTGGACAGATTCTCACAGGTCTTTGCGAATCATTTTATGCCTGTCGATCTGGCAAGGGGTTTCGCTGAGCTGAGGCTGATGAACAATCTTCAACAACTCGCTTATGGATCTTGACGAAGTGTTTCGTTCCCAACTCAGGAATGAAGACTGAATAATGAATCCGGAATTTGATATAGTTGGATGCCAAAACATATTGGCTTTGAAAACGTGATGTTGGAGTCCCAAGTTCAGAGTATGCGACTGACATTCGCTGCATCTTGCAAATATTCAACATCGCTGTAACATCGCTGTCTCCCATGTGTCTTCTATCATTTGGGCTGACGCAACGGAAGCATCCCATGTCCAACAGAAAAGCTCCAGTGTCAAAGACTTGTCAGCCCTTCGCTCAAGCTGTTCACCAAAGACATATCCACCGATCATCCAAGTGTCATCAAAAGGCTTTCGTAATATCCGCAGTCCCTGGTAAAACAATATCAACCATTATAAACCTACGTATATCATCCTATATCATCCTATCTCTATAAAGTCATATCGATCATATAACCTCCATGTCTCCGTGTCATATCCGTTATCCAACCGTATCTTGCATGAGCCATGATATGAGCTGGTCCCAGGAAATGCTGGGCGACCCCACAAGCTCATCACCTTGGTCCAGATCACAATTTGGACAGGTCGAAGAAAACACGTATGTTTAGGAAACCTGGGCCGAATGGAGCATAACAACAAAGTGCAATACTAAGTAGTCATCATCATCATCATCATCATCATGATTGTAATTAGGGAATTGCAGAGATGAACGCACAGGGATGGGTTCTATGTTAATGAAATCTACCATGGGACCATTTCAGTGACACTGCTCTCACACAGGCATGGTGCCATCATGGCTGCTGGGCCCTTGGCTGGCTCTCCGTTGTGGAGACGCACGCATTCGTGCCTGTGCAGCCTGTGACTTCTTGGATCCGGGCCAAGGTATGCGAAGGCAAATATGACCGATGACCAGATCAAATGCGAGCAAGATCGTGCTGGGGCTGCTGGGGTATCAATATGTTTGAAATCATGAGACCAAGATACATGGGACATCTATCCGGTGATAACAAATGCAGCAAGGATTGGTTCAATTCTCTAAACATCACCATGACATACCATGACGTGGATGCATAAGAAGAGTCATTAGACTTACCGACACTTTGCTAAATCTATCACACAATGCTCGGCCACGAGAACCAGTAGCTATCTTCTGATTCTGCAGTGATGGCGCATGATGGCGCTGAACCGCCTTGACCTCTTGCATATAGTTCATGATGGATCATGATAAATCATGATAATCTGCAGCATATTCATGCCATTCTGGTCTTACTTCGGAGGGTTGTGATGCCTGCGCATCTTCACCAAATGATGCCCGCCGGCTGGCCATTGGCCTGTGTGGACTCAACTCTCAGGGGGGGTTCCTGCTTGGGGTTTCATACTCTAATTCTTTAGAAAGAGGAAGGAGAATCATGGAGAATCATGGAGAATCAATATGTATATCCCATGAAATCAAACCACGAACGACCAAAGGATCTTTGACACCAGCCTTTTTAAATATTTTAAATGCAGCGGCGTTTCAGCCACTTTTCGGATGACAAATGCCCCCTTCTGAAGTGACATCTGATCTCAAAGGTTGGGGGCGTTAAAGTAGGTTCTTTTCCCATCCCCAAAGGCGAACAGTAGGATGGGAACGTTAGAATTTTGAGCTCATCAGAATACATTGCTGCTGCTTCATTGCTGAACGATGTGAGTGAAAACATGTGAAAACTGCGTTCACAAGACTCCGGTTGCGATTGGGCCATTTGGATCCATTTGGAAGATGTTTGGAAAGCAATGATGTGCCTGGGAGTAGGCCCAATGCGCCGGGCAAGCCTAAGAACTACCCGCAGCTGTTCACACGAAGCCAAATGCTGCGTTGGAAGAAAGAAACTTATGAAGGTCAACAACCAGATTCTAAAAGCGTTGACGTGTTGGCAGATGTGGGTAGAAAGTGGCTATTGGACATGGAAAAGTTGTGAAACAGGCGCGTACCGGATTGAATTCTTGGATTTGAAGCCCATTACATGTGCTGTGAATCAACTTCCGTCAATCATGCTGCATATGAATTTGGGAAAGGTCTCCTTTGGCTCTGGCGTGATCCTTGTTATTGCACTCAGCACGCAGTTGATGCAATGAGTTCCAGCAATCTACCTCGTAGACAATATGCACGATGTGGAACCATCATAAACTGTCATAAAACATCAAATCTTGCTCCGTGCTTCCTTGTTCACAGGGAATGGAACAGCAGTTTTTTGTGGACTATGCTGACGCTCATGTCGCAGTGATGGAGTGATGGAGAACGAGAACAGGCAGGTTTCAAGTTGAATCATGTTGAATCCAGGTTTCTTTCCCTTTCTTTCCCCCAATAATTGTTAGTTGATGTTAGTTGATGTTAGTTGTGTTGTATTGTATGGTAGATATCCATGTTACTCTCATGAACAAATGGTAGTGATGCCGCCCAATGATTCTGAGCTACAGCCATGCCAGGACACGTTGCTGTGGCACACCACGCCTGCTACTGGCCCACCTACTGGGTTGATTCTACGGACGAAGGAGGCTTACCTCTTCCGGCCCTGTCTTCCCAGCTTGAATTGGACAGCACCAAACTGACGATTGATTTGTTTTTTGTAGATTGGTTGGAAAGGCAAGTGCAACAGAGACGCACATCTGAAGCATGTACTGATTTTCAGAGGCACTATCTTGGCAACAAATTCAGTTCTATCTTAATAATTCTTAATATATGATAGTCTAAGATAGTCTAAGGTAGTCTAGGATAGTCTAAGATCATACTATGAAAATTCAAATGTGATCTCAGTATAGAAAATCCTTAGAATATTCGAATTGCTGATCATATGCAATCATTCACTAAATCTTGGGCAGTTGGTCATCCTCACTAACGTAGTATGCTGCCAGCAATATTATGGAACACAAACTTATCAGATCTCCCCTTTGGATCTCTTTGTGATTTCACACAGACAAGTTCTGTAGAGGCCTGCTTCCCACGATCTAGGCGATCTAGGTTCTATTGCAAGAGCTTTGCTTGCCATCAAAATATCTACGATGAAACTCCGACGCTGGGCGTCCATCACCGGACGATGCATCAGCATGGCCGGTTCGATGCTTTGATCGACAGTGGATCTCGCCCCAGAGTGACCTACAGTAGTGTTTATTAATGTTTATTACACCTTCAGGATGCTGCAAGTGGCACATGGCTTCCTCATTGCAGGACCTACAGCTGGATATTACAAGACTTCAAGGCTATCGCACGCCCCAGTTGAAGGTGTGACATCCTGAAATGATTCCAGCACAATTCACTGTACAGTCAGCACTATCTTCACCTGGCTGAACTGCTGATGACTGCTGCACGCAAATAACAAGTTTGGCCCATAAGATGTCTAGACCCAGCACCATGGATGTATCAAGAATACTCAACAACCAGAGTGCAAACCGTCAGCTGACTCTGCATTCCTGCAAAGAAAACCTATCGCACCCAAACATGGGTTACGAGTCAAATTTACTACTCATTAAACCACCAATTGGCTGGTCATGCGATGCAATGTAGACCCAGCCATCGCTGATATCTTTTTCAACTCAGGGTCATTTTTTGTACAATCTTCCAGAAAATAAGTCTGTGGCAGCGCAGCCCGACTGATCACAAGCGACCTGTTTCGTGGTACCCTTGGATTGCTGGTCTCATATCTCACTAATATATTTTGGATCTATTCTGATGTATTATGGTTTATGATGTATTTAAATATTTTAAGATATTTTAATATATTTTAAGTGTATCTAATAGATTCAAGTCCTGCCTCAGGGCAGGATTGTGTGATCGTGCCGGATGAATGTGCCAAATCTGATCTACTCGAATCTCTGCTAAAATGCAAAAAGATTGATAAACTGCCTACACCTTGAAAACACCATGCCAACTTCCGCAGCAGACTGTGAAGGAGAACCGCGCGCAATCGCGCACACATGTGATTCATGACCACAGATACAGATGCGATGCTTGGGATCTTTGTGGCGGATCAAACTTTCTGTCTCCATTCCGGAAGCTGCGGATGGCGCGTGTTGACACACAACAGTTCCCCCTTGGATCTGGTGTGGATCAGGCGCACCAGCTAGCAAGTGAGGGTAGGAACCGAGGAAGCACTCATGCTACTGCTGCGGGAAAATCATGGAAAAATGACCGAAGCGGATAGCTGGTTGGATTTCAGAATGATAAAGAATCAAACAAACACAGGGTGAATCGGTGTGTTGTAGTGTGCTCAGTCTGTTCCCTGTGCTGAATCTGACCCGCAGCAAGCATGGCCCAGGGCCTGTGCTTCCTCACAAGATGGTCTGATGGCCTACACTTGGCTTTGCCAAGAGGCCCCTGTCTCGTTGTGCGAAGGGAAATCAAAGACATCAAACATATGAACAAACAATGTTCAGAACATATGTCGCAAAAACACGCCGATGATCAAAGATCATAACATATAGGTGTACACTCTTCTTAGCACACTCATTTCTGATTCCTCATACTGCGCCAAGAGTGCATACATAGATATTTGCATCACGTCGGTGTATGATTCCTTTGTTGGGCATCTTTACAAACAGTCTGGTTGCCACGATGACTGTCTGCACAAGCAAAAATTACAGCATATTACAACCAGGGATGCTGCGAATTCAGGTCGTTTTGGCAACCTGCCTCTCATCAACTACCTGTTGAAGACAACAGGTTGGCAACAACTTGCCAGGCGCAGAGTAGCAGCAAACGACGTCTTTACATGTCTCTCTAGCCTTACGTCTGCATTGAACCGATGGCAAATAGGAACAGGTCAGTGTTACTTCTTGACAGGAAACGTCTCCGTTGAAACTTCCATCTGCTCCTCTTGAGGCGAGGTTGCTGTTGCAAAGCGTCACACGCGCATACACCACACGGAGGCACAACGCGCAAGTTCGCTGCATATCATGTGTTCTCACCGTCCAGTGGCAGTGTCATCGTACTCATTCTCTGTCTGGGGCTCGTAGGCCCATGCCGCTCATTCCCATCTCAGCTTCATAGCTATCAAGAGCAAAGCGCCAAATAAGGTACCTCAAATCACATGGCAGTAGCAAGGAAACTGGGGACGGATAACATCGATAATTGGGGAATGGGGAACCCAGGCAACGTTATCAAACACAATCGTTAGATGGGAGAACTGCATGTATGCGCTGCGTGACATAAACGAAACCATCCTATGATCCAGGCATTTTCGCTCCATTTTTTGGGAATATGCTATGAACTGCCAGCAGATTTGCAGGGTTTGGCTCCCAGCAACTGTTTTGAAACATCCTGACTCTACGAACTCATGGTATTCCCAAGGCAGCCCTAAGGGCAGCTAGCATCAGTTTTATTAAAAAACATGGAGATCATTGGGGACCCAGTAATTTGTGCAGTTCGCTCCCAACAACTACATCTATCTACAGTACATCTAACATCATCTAACTAACATCTATAACGCAACTCATCCCTCGTTGATAGAACGTCCAGATGCCGTCATATTCAACACAAGTCAAGATACATCACGATCACCAGGAAGACAGTGAGTACCGCGGCAGCTACATAGGATGCAACAATGGCTGTAAAGCCCCAAACACCGCGGAAGCACATGCCGTCCACAAAGTTGCCGTACCTTTGCTGTGGGCAATCACCCTTTGTACCTTTTTTCCCCCCCCAGGGTGGAGATACTTTGCAAATACAAGTGCATAGCAGCAATAAACACCTCCATTACATTCACCTAATGTAAGTTTCAAAACCAAATTCTGGTGATGCGCTTCTGAACCAGTAGTAATTAGAGAAGCGTGGAGCGCTGATTATTGCTTTTCCCCACCATTCTCAAACACCAACAGTTTACTCAAGAACACTCAACTACTCCGTTTCGGTTGTTCCATGAACACTTTTGAAAATCCATGGCACATGTGCTCGTCAGAAGGTTGCACATGGTTACACAATATTTGCAAGTGCGTCCTCTTCGTTCAATAAACTCTTTGTCTGAGATGTACCTCCAACCTCTGCTCCTAGGGGCCAGGCTTGGGGGGCAAGCTTGACCCCCGGGCCAATGTTTTACAAACACCATACAAAGTTTCAAGGTTCAACACACCAAATTCACTCCCAAAAGCTGCTACAAGTACCAACCACTTCTCTTCTAGATCACAACGTCTCAGCCTGAGCAGGTTGTAAGTGGAACCATCAAGCCTCTTCTGAGCGACCACATGGCTACAACGTTGCATATGTCGCAAGACTTATACAATCGGTGCACTTATGTATCCTCCCAAGGCAGGGACGTTTGTGGCGAGTTTTGAACTTTTTCGAGCTAGGATGACACGTACCAGCCGACGACTAGCATGAGCGCGCGCTATGAAATCGGCCAAGAAACTGTTTTGCCATGAAATCGCAGGTCACCCCATCTACCTAAGTTTGCAGGATGATCAATGGGATGCATGCATGCAATGGCGCATGTCAGCCCATGCACTGTGCAGTGAAGACAAATGATATGGCCTGAGTATCCATGAGTATTTCTTGAAGTTTCAAGTCATCCGAGCAAAAACTTGATATATTAGCCGCATTATCTACCCAGTGTTGTCAAAAGGCCTGGCAATCGCATTTTCTGGATCCATCCTGGCAAAAGGAGGGATATTCTGCAGCGCGTTATAAGTTCGACATTCGCGAATGGTTCTTGAATTTCTTTGGACAAACTCAACAACATCATCGCCGGAAGTCCAAAGCTTTCAGCTTTAACTTCAAGCTCCTTCAATACTTTAGATGCGATCACAGCATCAGAGAGGCAAATGGAACATGGAATATAAGCGATATACGAGAGTCATGTCCCAAGTCGTGGAGAACTTCCTCCAATATGTCTGGTTTGAGCAAGGTGCAATTCGGCCAATGGGTACCAGCAAATATTGGTTCACCAGCGACTGCGAGAGGCGGTGCTTAAGTTTGCAAAGAACGTGGCTGACTATATCTCATACTTGGGTATGTCTCAAGATTATTCACCTTGATTTAGGGATGATTAACATGGGCTAACTAGTACATATGCCGTAAGCATATTTAAACAGTTGTAAACATGCCATATTTTGACACATTTTGTGGATTCATTGGTACCCCTTTCTTGACCATCTGGCCGGAGCAGGACATGGGGCACACGGACACCAGCTGACTGAGTTGCAACATGCTGGATATGCAATGTGACAATTGAAACACATCCTATGGAACCATGGCCTAAAACTTTGAGATGCCTGGTGATCTCCAGCACCTCTACGAAATCAGCAATCACAATTTTATAATCAGATATCCAAACAGTCATCTATTGTATGTAACATATATGTACATATAGGTCATATCATGTCATATCATGTCATATTCTATATAATCCTCTACATATGATAGGATATCCTTATATAGGTTATATAGGGATTATTAATAGGGATTATATCCTTATATAGGTCATATATTATATGTATCATTATATATGTATATATATATATACGTATATATATGTATATATGTATATATCCCCATATAAAACGTTCACATCCCAGTTCCACCTTCAGCTGGACGTTGATCTTTTGCAGCGCCGCGGGGGTGACTCGGTCGACCCGTCCCATGGCCAAATCAATCTGCGTGGCGAAGCTGGTCACCACCGAGGTGAACTCCTACGACGCCGTTTGTGAAAAACGGGGAACATATATGACTTATATATGGAAAATATATGGAAAATATATGGAAGATGTGCAAAGATAATGAAAGATATGGAAGATAGATGGAAAAATAGATGGGAAAAACTAAGAACCCAGCCCAGTTTGGTCATTTCTATTCGACTATGTTACGAATTCTATTCTCCAAGGAGTCTATTGGATTTTAGACTCAAATTCAGAGATGACCACCAAAATCCACCGAATCCTGTTGAATACATTTGCATACAAGTACCATTGAGTCGCGGCTCTGAAAAAGAGGATAAGGTACGAGGATATACTTGGCACAATCGACGCCATTCCTTTGTTCAGACCTCCGGGTGTTCCTTGAACTAGGCTAACACTGAATGTTCTGAAGAAGAACATCAAAAAAAACAAACAAGCAGCTGGCCAGAGAAGAGACGACATGGGTCCTGAAGTGTGCAAAACTCTTCAAGCTTTTCCAATGTGCCATCTGCGAGGAAACAGTCATTCGCATATGTACCCTGCAGTGGAGCAAGGTGTTGGGAGCTTTTGTCACCGGTTTTCGCGCAAATGGCACATATCCATGAGACATCCTGAGATACTCTAATGGGATGGAGACAAGTTTTGGGTGAGACCAGGTGACTGGACGACACCAGCTATTGGCTCCGAGCGTTTTAAATCCAACGTCTGAAGATATTCCAAGCCATCATAAGCCATGATACAGTAATGCTATCTTCTTCTGGTGTAAAAACAGTGGCAAAAATTGGTCAGTGAAACAGTTTGCAACCGGCTTCCCATAGTGCACCGTGTTGGCATCGTAGGTCATCGAAAGGAGATCACACTTCTGACCAAGAGCATCCTCGACCAGGACGGCTGGAGAACCACTTGCGGCAGGGAGGGATCTATGCATATGTGACTTATGTGAAGCTGCTTGTGATTTCACCTGGAACTGTGGAACACCAAAGTTCTTCTGACTTGTGTGTGATGTATCATTGGGGCAGGGTGAAAAACATGGGTGCATTTAGTGTGGGGAAATGCGTCACAAAATCTAGTTGACTCACGACATTTTTGATGAATCATTATAATCATGGCCGATACAATTCGGATTTTGACGCCTGATGTCTTTGATTGCAAGACACATTCTATAGAATACAACTTGAGTACAACCTGAACCTTGCTCTATGTCTAGGCAGCTTCGCCATCTCTAAGAATGCTAAGAGTTCTTGAGGATTTGGCAGGTCGTTCTGCAGCACAACGTGGAATTTTCTGCTGGTACGAATCACTGAGCTTTTGGCATTGAATTTGGAATCAAGGTCTGGGTTTTTGATGATTTTAGAGCTCCGGGAGTGAATATACATGTTATATATATTAGTGTATGTATGTGTGTATGTATGTGTGTATGTATGTGTGTATGTATGTGTGTATGTATGTGTGTATGCATGTGTGTATGCATGTGTGTATGCATGTGTGTATGTATGTATGTATGTAAGTATGCATGCATGCATGTATATAATGTATGTAATGTATGTAGTGTATGTAATGTATGTAATGTATGTAATGTATGTAATGTATGTAATGTATGTAATGTATGTAATGTATGTAATGTATGTAATGTATGTAATGTATGTAATGTATGTAATGTATGTACTGTATGTAATGTATGGTATGGTATGGTATGGTGTGGTATGGTGTGGTATGGAATGGTATGGATGTATGTATGTATGTATGCATGTATGCATGCATGCATGTATGTATGTAATGCATGTAATGCATGTAATGTATGTAATGTATGTAATGTATGTAATATATGTAATATATGTAATGTATGTAATGTATGTAGTGTATGTAATGCATGTAATGCATGTAATGCATGTAATGCAAGTAATGCAAGGAATGCATGTAATGCATGTAATGCATGTAATGGATGTAATGTATGTAATGGATGTAATGGATGTAATGGATGTAATGTACGTAATGTCTGTAATGTACGAAATGTATGTAATGTCTGTAATGTCTGTAATGTATTGTAATGTCTGTAATGTATGTAATGTATGTAATGTACTGTACTGTAGTGTAATGTAATGTAATGTATGTATGTATGTGCAGGCTTAGAGGGATAAGAACAAAAACAACTATGCAGAACTATGCAACAATGATTGACAATGATGTATAAACTTTTGCTAGAATTTAAACTACTAGCATCGCAAAGATCAGAGTGATTTTCAGCCGCTGTCAGAGCTGTCATGGCTTCCCGTGGCCTTGAAGTATTTGCACTTGAAGGTCTCCACCGAAAGCAGCTTTTGCTTCAAGTCAATAAAGCCTTGCGTGGCACACACACACAAAGACACAAGATTTGGAAACCTAGGTTGTACAGAAGGTGGGAGCTGAAATTCTATTGGCATTTAAATTTCGATGTGAAATCAATTAATTTAAATACTAGCCCCAGCAGTCCAAAAGAAACTACAGTATAGAGCTAGGAGGGCAGGTTTACACGTGAAACTTCGCGGGTCACGAACTCGTTGGTCTCTACGGCTAAGTACCAGGGCCAAGAAGCGATTGGCAGCATCACAGGCATTCTGTTGTGTGCCGCTGCAAGTCACTTTCTTGGCACCTAAGCTTCGGCAGGCTGGTGAACATGCCAAGTATAAAACATCTGACAACTCCCATGGTTTACGTAAGAGCATCAGTGGATTCATTCATTCAAAAATCCACCAAGTCGCCTCGATGTAGGCAACTGATTCCAGCCCTGAACAGATGGTGATAAGTTGATAAGCCATGATGAACATGGATGAACTTTCTTCTTTACATTCTCCCCATCCCAAACATCAGAAAGTATCGCCACAGCAGTTCAGGCTATGACTATGAATGCTTAGGGTATCTAAAGTCGAATGATCTGGAAACCCACAAACCTCTTTGAATTGATCATTCAACCGCTGCATTCTCTCCCCTGCCCCTAAAAGAGCTACCTAGGTTTTGATCTATCAATCCCAATGAGCATGGAATAAAACAAATCCAACCATGAGACATGCTTCGAATCAACCTCTAAAACCCCTCGGTCATCATTTTGGATCCTGGATTGGGTCTGAGTCATAGTATCACTTTGTCGTGCCAAGACACAGCTGCTGTGCGTCTCCAAGGTGCCATAATTGCTGAGATTGGCCACAAAGGAGTCAATGCCTTACATCTGTAGCTGTAGAGCCGTGCAATCCTTTGATCCATAATGGACATGACCTCCTAACTGCAGCAACATGTTGGTACTATAAGATACTATAAGACTGTAAGCCTATACGCATACAGCCCTTTTGCATATTTTTGTAATAACTTGCACTGATGTATACTGGATGTCAACTATTCATACTATATGGTGTATAAAGAACTAAACAGTCTTAAAGATATAGTTTACAAGATGTGTAGAGCAATATTTGATCGTGCGAGCTCTTGATTCGCATGCTACAGAAGCATAGCTGTGCGGCTGGTATGTTCACCCCGTTGAATTTTGTGGAAACATGACCAGCGGTGGCATTGCACAATTGCACTCGTTGTACACACAGCCAAGCTTCCATAGAAGGTGCCATCAGTACACGAAGTCGACGTGATCAAGTAATTTCGCAGTCTTTCTTCAGCCAGCATAGCTGTGTAGTCTGAATTTGAAGCTAAACTCTCTGCCTCAGAAGTCGCGAAAAGGCTTCTAATGCTTCTACGCTTGTCATCGATACCCAAACATTATGGTAGGGAAAAAGGACATGCTATGGAAATACCTGATGGGGCGTACCTTCATCAGATGCATCACTTGTTTGTGTTGTGTGATGTAGCCCGCCAAGAGTGCATTATTTTTCGAGAAAGCAACAGCATCCTTGTCACCTGCACTGCTTCTTCCAAAACAGTCAGACATCGGAAATGCTGAAGGTTTAGGCACACTCAAGACTGAGACTTGGAAACAGAACATGATCAAACAGTGGCTGCTATGGTATCGATTATCGGTCAGGGAATATGTTTGAGCCGCACATGGAACCAATATTGGATCCTTATGGCGCAAGATGCCGGTGACAGCTTGTGCAGCTTGGTATAAGTTTAGCGCCTGTCACATCCATCACATTGCTGGTGAGTTGCTGGCAACATCATCTCATCCATAGACAGATTTCGAAGGGTCCCAATCAACATCTGCAGTTCCTGGTATGTTGACATGCTGTAGGTTGAACGGGAACGTGGAAAATGAATCAATGCCATTGCGATGCTTGCGGATACATTGACAGTCAACGGCAAGCATTGTTCAATTTTGATCTGCTGATGGAAACTGTACCACAGGCTGCGGCAGCCGACAAAACTACTACAGTAAATCCTCTGAACGTAATGACGTGGACCAGTATTGGTGGTACCAACTCTCATTGGACTTGTGACTTGCGAAGAGCATGGCCAACTTGTCATAACTTGTCACGTCGGCACATATATATATATATATAATATATCATATCATATCATATTATATTTATATACAGTACATAATATCACTTTATTAAATCCTAGCATTCGAAAACTGAACGCTGACATGCAGGCAGGAGGTCAGCCAAGTCACTTCAGTGTCTGCCAAGGCCAATCCTCCTGCGGACGGAAAGGTCGGCACTGATGGCGGTATTTTGCGGGGCACGATATCGACACACCATGCGTTGAAATGGACCTGGATGGATGCATACAGTGTAATTGTGCGTGTCTGAAGATGGGCGATGCCCAGAACATTTCATTTGATCTCAAGTCTCAATGGAAAATATATGATTTGATGATGAACCATGGGATTATCGCATTATGTAGTAATTACATGTAATTACCGTGTTTTCAGACAAACCCAAATGGGGTTCATCGCAACATCTACCAGTAAATGCATGTAAATGCAACCTGGTTTATGCATGTTTATGCAAGCTTGCCCAACACTGGCCGTGGAGTACAAAACTTTCAAGAAACCTAAAGTAACGTATCCCTATATACTACTGTAGAAACTAGTACAAGAAACAACCCAATCCAGCCCAATCCCACCCAAAGTAATCCGTGGGTCCTGTATCAAGACTGATCGCATCAAACTGCTTGGTGATTTGGCTGGTGACGGTACCAACAATGGCCCTCAGCCGTGGCTTACCACTGGGGACATGACTAAACCTCTAAAGCTGGTCCCCTGGCAGCGGGGCATGAGCAGCTTCAGCATCATGAAGGAAAATCAAGAACGGTTCTCAGCTGAAGAAAGCACAGTGACAACACGGCAAGAAAAGGATCGTTTATTTTTTCCTTTGTTTTTTTAACACCAGACCAGCGAAGAAAACAACCATTTTTGAACCTGTTGGATCAGGAACGCTAAAAGTCGGCCAAGACAGCGTAGAATGACTGAGAGTGGGATGGAAATTCGAGCAACAATTTCGCTACTCAACAGCTGAAGCGCCAAAAACGGCTGATAACTGAACCAGAGTCGGAAACATACAAAGGTCAAAACGGTAAACATCGAAATTGGGTTTTTCTTTACCGTTTTCTTCCTGAACCTGGAACTTCCAAAAGGTGCCGCTACGTTTTTCAAATGATCGTTTCCTGAGGGGTGCCGCTGTGCCACCCCTTACCATCCATAGAAAGTTACATCCACAATTACACCGTTTTTACAGTAGTTGAATGAGAAAGTGCACAGCTCAGTGTTGGCAATTTACATCCCATCAGTTTTGCAAATAGCATGCCATTACACAGGATGACACCTTTTGACACGTTTTGATACGTTTTAACACATGCTAGAAACATTTCAAAAACCACCTGGCACGCACTAAGGGGTGCTATTGCTATGGCCACACGCGTGCAGAATGCCACCTGACGCGAAATGACACGAAGTGACACGACATGATATGAAATCGCACAAAATAAAACAAAATGACACGCACAGAAATCCATCTTGGCAATTCAATTACATTCAACCGGAAAAGGGCTGGGGTAACAAAATGTAACACATGTATACAACTATTAACAAATTGGCTTTCAAACACCTGAAAAAATAAGGGGTGCCGCTACGGTTTTGGTCCTAAGGGGTGACCTGGAAGGTGTATACGCAAAAGAACTACCAACATCCGCGCTAAAGACGGCCAAAAAATCGCGGTAAAAACGGTAAAAACATCTGTAGTAAAAAAATGATAAAAACCGAAAAAATACCAACATCCGCGGTTAAAAATAAAATGGTAAAAATCGAAATCAAAAATCGAAGAACTTATTCGAGTCGCACCCTGTACGCACAACAAAGCCGCGAACCTGCTTAGAAAACACGAAAGCGCGACCCTCAACCTTTGATTGAATGACAGACACTTCAGTAACCTTTGCCACTACAGCCATTGAAACCAAACCATGTGGATCAGAACTTGTCCCAGAACTTCAGCCGAGAAAAGTACCGCTCACCGTCACTGCTGTGATTGTTCTGCCCCAAAGGTCTGGTGTACGACAAATGGCGCTCATTGCAACCAAAATTTCAAAGTCTTGGCTGCCAAGGTTCTCGTTCATTGACACCGTGGTACCATCGCTGTTGGTTGTGGTGATAATGTCCTTGCAAATGGCGTGGACCGTCGAGCATCTGAGTCACACTGCCTTTGAGAGATCCGACTTGAATGGCCCATGCTTTGCAGGTTCCTAGCACCCAGTTGCTAACATAGCTGGAACTGCTACGAGTAAAATATGGCAGAACCGCGCCGCACCTCAAGCAGTCTTCCCTTGGAACATCTTGGAACAAGAGAAGGAAGGATATCTTGACCAGCACTTGACCATAGACGATGTTTCGTGGTGTTTCATGTCTATATGTTTCTTTTGGGTTAACAAGTTAGTGGATTCCTGTGAGCCCCTGCCCCTAGCAGCTACCTCTGAGATTGACAACCTGGAACTGCGTCAGCCAAATCCAGGAGTGGCATTCCTTTTGTATCAAACACTCACTAGCCGTCACTAGCCACCAGCGCTTACTCCAAGCATCTAGAAGTACCGGGTTCACGTCGGCGTTGGGTGGAGGATTCAAACAATTCCTCGCGTGGCCGAAGGGCCTATTTGTCTTGACATCAAACAGCAAGAGAATAGGAATATGGATCCGCCATTGATCCGCCTTGCATCTGAACCATCTCATCTAAAGAACCCCTGCTCCCTCGTGGCAAAAAGATGCTCGTAAGGTGCCTCAAAACAAGACAATCATCAATGCACCCAAGATTTCTGATGTGATCATGCTAGATCATTGACAATTTCTTATTTATTCTATTTTATTCTTATGTTAGGGAATTCACATTTGTTTTCGTGAGAAAGGCTTCAAGATAGGCTCGCAATCGCCAAGGCTCTCCACCAGACTGATGGCCATGTTACCGACAGCGCCTGTTACTTCCCTCTACCCGATGTGAAGTCTGCTGCACTCTTGAAAGGAAATGAGATGACTGACAAAACTTGACATAACAATATTATGTGGGCTGAAGGATAAGAATCATGGTCCTGTACACATTTTGGCTGCAATCCCCCTACCAAATGGTCCAGTGAACAAGCAGCCGGGAAGCAAGGAGTGGCAAGTTGATTCGATTGAAAGTACAAGTACAGTGTAATCTGGAGTTTTGCGTTGTGGTTTCTCGTCACCCCAACCAAATGTGGCTGCACCGGGTGATCGATTTCCAAAGCACCCCACCTGTCAAGTTCAGATTCGCTGCGGCAGAGATATCTTGCAAAATCTCACCATCCAAGTCCTCCAAGATAAGGCCTCGACCAAGATCTAATTGACATTTGGGAAACCGTACTAGCACACATGAAGGACAGACTCTCAAAACTAAACAGCACTAGCGGCCCATAAACTTTGAGTTTTAGGGCTCCTTGATTAACCACCATGTAAAGTACAGTATGCAATGTCTGCTGCACCACAGGCAGTATTCATAAACATTAGGCCATGCTGCAGAGTGCAACAGTCTCTTGCTTCAGAGATACCTGAACTTCACCCTGAACTTTTTGATGAAGGATTGGGGATCAATGATGATCAATGGGGATCATTCATCCCAAAGCTTCCCATCACCTATCTCCAAGGCAAACCACAGATTCTTTTGTCAACGTGCTGCCACGGTGCAGAAACTGGACAAGGGAACAACAACCAGGTTCAGCAAGCCACCCACCAAAAACCTCTGGGCGTCATGGCAGCATGGCACAGTCCCAGGCTGTGCCGGAATACATGTGGTCAACCAAGGTCTGTTCTCTGGCGATATTTTTGGGTGCTCTTTAGCATTTAGCATGAATCCCAGGGGGTCTTCCTTCCACACTGGTGGGTAGGTATGTCGGTAGCTCGAGGATTCCATCACGACTGCAGAACAATAACGCCATAGAATCAGACAATAATCAGTGATAGAAAGTGAGGCAATACCCCAAGGCTGAGGCTGCGACGCCAGGAAGAGATACCAACAGCCACAGCACCAGGTGCAGCACGCACAACGATGAACTCTGGCTTTAGGATTGCCTGACAAGAAAAATTGGGCAATACTGGGAGCTGAGTGAGGACAGCAAAGTGTACGTACGTGTTCTTCCTTGCATTCCAAGTGAACGGCTGAACCTGACATTGAGAAACACGCAGGAATTAGCTCTGTGCCATAAAGACACTGCCGCAAAAGGTATGTAACTAGTACGTATATAGCGTGTCATATATCATGATATATGATATATTATGTAGATAGTATTTACAGCACATATCAAACAAGACATCATCCCTGCGATTCACTGCCTGGGGTTGTGCAACACCAGCAGAAGACCGTGAGAAGTCCACAGGCTGTGAGCCTGGGTTTGATTTGCCGAGGACAGCCGAGGGCTCGGCGCCCAAATGCACAGCACCAATCTTTCAGACGGAAAAAGTCTCAAACTTTGACAACACAAAGAATAAATAATTTGAACTATTTTGATACAATTCTCTAACTTTGCAGTCTTTCCGAGTAGAGTTCTTTGATGTTCTTTGTGCCATGAATCACTGATCCTTTATTGTACTGTGTAGTAGATCTTTTCAATGTTTTGCATAGCACATGCAAAATAGACTGGCTGGGAGATATTGAAAACTCCCGATACATTGCGGCCGAGCTGCAGCAAGGCCAAGATAGCGAAACTGGCTGCACCACCTCTGCCGGCGGTGTCCATCCTTGGTGTCAACATGGAAACGTTCAATCGTGTAGCTGGAATGAACTGGAACTAGATATGGTAGGCTCACTGACTCACTGTCTGGTCCAATGCAGGAGCCCACTGTCCAGGAAATTATCATCCGTATCTATCTGTATCAGCTAATACCTACTAGGCGTCGGCAAAAGCTTGCTCCCATCAAACAGCCCTGCACCAAGCTAGAAGACATTTGAGAAGACATTTCCTGCCCTTTCTGGAGGTTGACCTCAATCGCTGCGAAATCCTATACACCCATGTGTAGTCTGAAGAGTACCCTTGCAACCCCTTGCTGGCTCTCAAAGGACCATCCACAACTGCAGCAGAGTCTCTGTGCTTTGACCGTATCAAGCAAGTCTTCTTCTATCAAAGGGCCCAGGAATGACTTCAACGACACCTAGAAGATCAAGTCAGCAACGGCATCGTACAAATTTACAACAGTACATGAAAGTACTACAAAAAGAATGACCAGAAAGAATGGGAATGCTGCCACTACCACGCATTACTCAAACGTATTGACCTATCTTTGCCCGGAAAATTGTCGAACAACTGATTGTGCATCTGAATGGCTTCAAACCATCACAAGTGAACAAATTAAAAATCAAAACGTAAGCAACGAATGGGTGGCAGCAATGTGTTCACTTGGGCCCAGGAAACTTCAATCTACCAACAGGCACAAACTAAGTACATTGAACATCATCGTATCCCTACAGTGGAACCCCTGGAACCCCTACAGAGACCAAGTGGTTGTATCATCACCGGAGCCCAGGCCTTGAACTGATCCACGGGAGCGCTCATGGTTTCAAAGTTGGCCTGAAGCTCCTGACCCAACGTTTCGGTTCCATGGGGGGGCCACGCTTGTACTGAACATCTGTGAATCCAAACATTTGAAGAATAGATGCTCATTCCTACAGCTAGAATGAGCAAATATCAACAATATGATATTTTTTTCCGCAACTAACTTTGCCATCGCAGTCGAATCCGAACTTTGCGGTCCAACATGTCCCAACTGTTCCTCAAGAAATACTTGAAGTCATCCTCTTCCTAAGTGTTAAATTTCCGCTGCAAATGAGGTCCTGCAATTTGCTGCCAGACAACTGTGTATTCACCTGCAGGAATGAAAGTGTCAGTGACAGGACTTTGAATCCATGATCTAGCCATGCCCTAACTTTTAAACATATGTAAAATACAAAGTAGGCATTTTGCAAACCACGTGTGCAAATTATATATGTATCTATGTATCTATATAGGTGCTATCAGCACCACCTCCTAGAGTCTCGTAGCCACAGCTGCACCTCTTCCCGTGCTCTCTTCAAGGCTGTGGCAACGCTGCCGTCCAACGCGGCAATGGCTGGTCCCAAGACACCTTTCCATCAGAGCCCAAGTCCACATGGTGCGAAAGTGTTTGAAGATGTTTCGAATATTCCAAGACATGCTGCAAAAACAGGCAGATCATGGAGATTTCTTTGATCCTTTGAACCCACAACAGGCAAAACATGGCAAAACATTGCAACACCTGTGGAATCTTGGTGAATTGATTCCTTTTCCGCTTATCTTGGTGGGAATCGTTGAGGCAAAATCATGCAAATTTGGCACTTGAGAGCTCGCTACACAGCTTGCATTCGTGCAAGAGGGAGTCGCCACCACCTCAAATGAAATGGAAATAGGAGAGAACTGTGAAGCACTGGGATGCACAAACCCCATCGGAGCTGTACTTTCTACACGTCCCATATGTTTTCTCCTCCCATTTGCATGGTTTCACCCGCAAATTCATTTGCTCCCGCGCTGTTACTGCGATCTACTCTTCTCACCTGCCAACCCCCCTTGCTACCTCTGTGGTTGACATGATGACAAGACTAACCATGGACCATGGACATTCGTATATATCATGAACATCACGTCATATAATATACATATCACACATCACATGTAGTCTACATTCACACTCAGTCAAGTAGGATACCAAGCACATCGAAGTACCGCCCCTTCATTAACGGATGCCCTTTCTGGCCGTTCAAAAATGTTCAAAATACTCCTTCAAGATCCTTCCCCAAGAATCCAACGTCCCATACCAACAGAAACAAAAATGACGTCAAGGAATATCCCTGAAAGACAACGATTCCCTAAATAAAGATGACATTTTGCGCCACAGCTGTCAGCTGTTCAGGTCGTCCACTCCACAGGCAGCATAGTGGCTATCTGTCGGGATTTGGTTTGCTGGAAGCGTCATCATATCCTGAAACAACTTCCAGAAGTGCGTGGCCACCAAATCTACCCTCCCATCGGTTGATCACATCATGGCAGCCCACCGCAATCAACATGTTGGTCTATGCCACAACTGAAGCGCTTGTTGTCCTTATGTATCTCATCTTTGCTGAAAAGGAGACCCTGATGCAGACTACTCCTGCTGACTCTCTAGAGTTGTTTCCTCAATGTGGACCCATGAATCATTCCAAGCGCCAATGGACCTACTGCGCAAAACCGAGGCTCATACAACAGCGACTTTGTTTGAGATGCTAGGTAAACGGCCTGCGCTGCAAAGGTCGGGCGCAAACACTCTGGGTGACCCTTAGTGGCAGATCCTTCCTATATATAATTAGTGCCCAATGAGCACGCGCTTAAGCTGGCAGGATTTGAAATGTTGCTTCATCATGAGCAAAACGTCCAAAAACCTCTTGCTAATTCATTCTTGGATTGAAATACTGGTTGCATCTGGTTGGTGACAAACATGTATCATTTCACTATATAGAAACGTCTATAATCTTCAAACTTAGCTACCTCCTTCACCAAAATTCAGCCCCTAACAAGCAGGGCATCCTAGACCACTCCCGCCTGACTAATGTCCTGGGTGTTGTCTATGACACCTTTGAGGTCACAGATAAAATCGCTGTCCTGTCGTTGATCGAGGACCAATGGTGCTTAGGCAACATGAATCAACGCCATCAGAAAAGCAGTTGATGAGGACGGATTTGTGAGGCAGTTTTGCATCTGTGCTATGTCAAAATTCTCATTTGTGCATTGGAAGCGTGACTAGCACTCCCAAATTGCAAACTACAAGGACATGTCATTGCACCTTATGGATCCTTTTGGTGGAAGCATGCAAATGACATGGAATTACATGTTTATGCAAACGATGCCCTAACATTGAGGACCAGGATGACCATGGGTCGATGTGTTGCGCCCCCACCAAGTGAAACTCTACATTCAACATGTGGTCAGCAGAAAGCGCATGTTGATCGCCGACCGCAAAATAATTCGTTGAAAAAACCATTGCTGATCGATCCGCTGATTTCTAGCCAGCGGCTGTCAACCGACATCATCCACCTCAGCCGAACGATTATAAGATCTGTAAGATATTGCACGCACTTCAAGCCATCGTCTTGCATAATTCTTGATTATGAGATATTCTGAATACTTCGTCGAACCGCTGTTGCCAACTTCCCTGCCGCTACTGCTCCCTTCCCCTGCGCCGCTCCGGGCTGAGCGAATCAGAGAGAGACTGAAGTATCTCCAGGATAGGCAGAAGGCCCAGAAAAGCAAGATCCCTCAGCATGGATGGGCGACAGCACAATTGTTGAGTGGGCTCAACGTGAATGCGAACAAATTCAGCGTAACCGTTCCTAGATTATGAAGATATCATGAAGAAGTTGACCCTGCCCAGAAAACTGCGAATATGGAGGCCAAGTAGCGGTTGGCCCCCCTGCAAAGTGGTGTTCATTAGTTGAGCGCCTTAGTTTCATCCGGTGCCTTGTTTGGGGGCTGTGAGAAGGCATGAACATCAAACCTGACACCACAGTTTTCATATCAAAATAGCAGGTATACTTGTTATGTCCCGCGCCACTTAAACTGGTGAGGTGCCAGTTAAACTATGCCCAGCTGACACTTGCGCGTGATTAGGAATGGTCCTTTATACATAATTTCCCCACTTCTGGAAGCACACCCAGCTTCCCAACTTCCACACTTGGGTGTCGCTCAAAAAAAGGAATGGCTTATTTTCAGCATATAGTATTCAACTAAATAAAACACGTATCCCAAAATGGGAGTCGGTACAAATGAATTGTTTTGAGCCATAGCCATGGCCATGTTTGATCCATTTTTGTATGGTCAAAACTTCAGTAATGAACTCCACATTCAGCCATCCAATACTACTCCATTTAGATCCATCTATACTAAATTGTACCAAATGCATCACTTAATCTATGCCCCTTCATAGCCATTTAGCAAAGTTACAAAATTTAGTATACCATTATATACCATCATACCCATGATATTCATTATATTCAGATATACATTACCGCCAGATTCCCAGTAAATTCCCAACTTCGCCACGAAAAAACGACAGGTGGCTGGCACAGGCGGTGCGCTCCACGCCGTCCACCGCAGCATCCAGACCGGTGAGTGCCAAAAACGCCGCCACCGTCAGAGCCAGGCCGATGCCAACTGTGCCGGAACTGATGTTTGAGGGTGAAACCATGTTCTTCTTTACGAGGAGCATATAGCTGGTAGAGTATGGTTCAAAAAATGGCAAGAATTACATAATCAATCATAATCATATGTATATCTATATAGATACATAGTATCATTATGCACATAGTTTTATACACTTTAGAATTGTACAAAATGACAAAATTATACAAATATTTATATGTCCGCCCCCAAAAACGGTGTAACTTATGGTGGGTGGCTGGTAAAAATGCACGTGCGTCCCTCGTTGGGATATCATACCCGAACTGGTTTGTGATTAGGTGTGCGTTTCAGTAGCCCGGTAAAATTTAACTGTTTACAATTTACTAGCTACAACCCATTTGTATACACTTGCAACTTCTTATAACTAGGAGCACGGCCTTTAGATGGCCGTGTATTTTTTGATTCATGGGAAGTTGCCGATGATATTGGATGTGCTCGTGCCAGTCGGATTTTGTGTTATTTTTGTGTAAAGCCTGTCAACGCCTTATTTACAGCAGCAGAATGAAAAGAACTATTTCGCCGACACCAACCCTGCATTTTTGTGAATTCTTCACAGCCCGTATACTTGGTCTCCACACTTTTTCAGCCACAGCGTAGCATCTACTTCATGTGCAAGTTCACATGAACGTGAATACATGCCCCAACCAACAGCCACAGCGAAGCATCTACTTCATGTGCAAGTTCACATGAACGTGAATACATGCCCCAACCAACAGCTACAGCGTAGCATCTACTTCATGTGCAAGTGCAAGTTCACGTGAACGTGAATACATGCCCCAACCAACAGCTACAGCGTAGCATCTACTTCATGTGCAAGTTCACATGAACGTGAATACATGCCCCAACCAACAGCTACAGCGTAGTCTACTTCATCTGCAAGTTCACATGAACGTGAGTACCTGCACCAACTGACAGCTACAGCGAAGCATCTACTTCATGTGCAAGTTCACATGAACGTGAATACCTGCCCCAACCAACAGCTACAGCGTAGCATCTACTTCATGTGCAAGTTCACATGAACGTGAGTACCTGCCCCAACTGACAGCTACAGCGAAGCATCTACTTCATGTGCAAGTTCACATGAACGTGAATACCTGCCCCAACCAACAGCCACAGCGAAGCATCTACTTCTTGTGCAAGTTCACACGAACCTGAGTACATGCCCCAACCGACAGCCACAGCGTAGCATCTACTTCATGTGCAAGTTCACATGAACGTGAATACAAGCCCCAACTGACAGCTACAGCGTAGCATCTACTTCATGTGCAAGTTCGCATGAACGTGAATACCTGCCCCAACCAACAGCTACAGCGTAGCATCTACTTCATGTGCAAGTTCACATGAACGTGAGTACCTGCCCCAACTGACAGCTACAGCGTAGCATCTACTTCATGTGCAAGTTCACATGAACGTGAGTACCTGCCCCAACTGACAGCTACAGCGAAGCATCTACTTCATGTGCAAGTTCACATGAACGTGAATACCTGCCCCAACCAACAGCCACAGCGAAGCATCTACTTCATGTGCAAGTTCACACGAACCTGAGTACATGCCCCAACCGACAGCCACAGCGTAGCATCTACTTCATGTGCAAGTTCACATGAACGTGAATACAAGCCCCAACTGACAGCTACAGCGTAGCATCTACTTCATGTGCAAGTTCACATGAACGTGAGTACATGCCCCACCCCACCCCACCCCCCACCCCAACAAAAGGCCACGGCCGTCTAAGGGCTGTGGTCCAACTACTTACTGGGGTGGGACACACTCTCTCTCTCTCTCTCGCGCGGAAATTTCCCAGACTGGGACATACCGAACACGGCGACAAGAAAAAAACAGGCCGAAAATTCATGCCAAGGTCTATCGTACACGACAGGAGCAAACCTACTCCAGACTTAGGATACATTTTCAGCTGGTGGGGTTCAACATGACATATCTGACACTTGCATAATTAAAATGCCTTTTGATCCACAAAGTCTTCATTCAACAACAAATCCGACAACTGCACCGAAAAAACACCAGATGGCCCAGGGTCACGAGGTTTGGACAACTCATTTTGGCATTATATTGTGAGGCACCCTTATATCCACAATGGGCGTATACAGTCAGTCATACCCATTATATACATTCCAACTCTTGTTAGTGACACTCTATTACATATAGCACGGTGTAGGTTCACTGCTGCAAATCAAACCATGTTGATGTTTGGTTGTATCCGCCCACAAGAGGATAAACAACGAAACATCTTCCCATCATCTTGGCTTCTTCGCATCACCACGGTGTGCCCAACGGATCATGGTGATGTTCTCTGGGGGCGGCAAACACAAGGTTTTATTAGCGCCGGACCCTTGAGGATTTCCCGCCGGTTCTCAGTTTCCCATAGGAAATTCGGATCATGTACAGTATATATATCGGGGTTGATATTTGGGGGGGACTGTTGGGTCCAGATTTTGTAGCTGTAAACTTGCTCTGCCCAATCCCAATCACTACGTTATCATTTCCAGCCCCAAAAAAAAATCACTACAAAAGTGCAACCCCAGCCTGGATAAAAGCTCACTACAAAATCCAAAGGATCTGACAAGAGGTCTTCAAGAGACCCTTCAAAAATCACGTAGATGTTTATAGTGACTTTTAAGTAGATCCCACTGAAGTCTTCAAGATCAGTGGCATCTCAAAAAGATCCCCCAAGAAACACTACAAAGTTCTTCAGGGGTCAAGCCCAGCTGATTTCAGAACATTGATCTTGGAACCCCACAAATTCACTACAAAGTACTTTTAGGTCAAATCTGAGTGAACTCAGAAATCCATTTTCGGTTGACTATTATCTCGCATACTTAAGCACTACAAACTTCTATGACCAACCCATGCTTGAATCTAGAAACGTATATGACATAGGGTTACTACAAAATGCAAGGACACATGGCCCTAGGGGGACTGTAAAAACCACTGAAAAACCTATTTTACATAGGACCCAAGTCCACTACTTTTGTAGTGGAAATTCCAACGAGGATGTATATATAATATAATTTGTCTGAGAAATTACTGAGCAAAAGAATGAGCAATATCATCCACATATTTGGGGGGTCACTATGGCCTTGGCGCTATTCGACAGGAGGAAACTGCAAAGATTCTTCTTGTCCCCCAAACTGTGGCCTAGCAAGACGAAAAAGATGAGCTTTCCGCAGCGTCCACATTGCCAGTCGCGTTTACAGCAGCGGCAGTAGCGGCAACAACCGCACCAACAGCAGCAGGTGAAATACAGAATCATCAGCCTTAGGCAGTTTAGAGAGCAGCTGGTAGGGAAACAGGCTAAAACTTGCGTGAACAGCGCTGTAATTTGTTTTCTGAGCGTCAAACACCCTTAAGTTTTCTGTCAGCGATGTGAACCTGATTGTTTCCCTTATTGCTTCCGACCTTGGAACCTGAGAGAACCTGAGTCCACAAGAATCTGCCTTTTAGAGCTTCAGAAAACTCGAGGCACCCAAGTCGAAGCCCTTCACATCCCATCCTGCCAAGGTGCACAAAGGATGCCACGAGGGGCCCGGCAATCTGCACAGCAAAGGCCGGCTCTTGAGCCTTCAACAAACAACAAGAAACAACAGACCAGAGATGAGCAAAGACCACAAATGACCAGAGTGGCGACGGTGGTGGATCGTTGGGGTTTTGCACTTTTCACTGAAGGAAATTTGGTGAGATACTGCCTCGACATCGGTTTGTGTTGAGAAAGGCTAGATATCTCATGGTTCGCTCAAAAGCACTGCTGTAAGTTTCAAGTCGGTTTTATTAGATATACTGTCATCATGTTGCATGTCAATCCACGAATGCATCCCAATCTGCTGGAGACATCTCTGCAATGAAGTAAAGCCTTAGCTCATGAAACACACTACGTAAATAATTGTAACTGTAAATGCAATGAGGTCTGGTGACCTGTCAAAAGGCTGCAGGATTGAACCGCATCACGAATCAGGACGCGAGGGATCCCAGCATCCCATGGGCATCCCATGGCTTGGTGCCTTCGCAATGAAGAGCTCAGCGATCTCTTCGGCATCTGCAGCTTCTTCCAGCAACGTCTTAGTACAGTATCGGATAGTGCTGCATTGCCACCCCCGTCATGTGCATAAGCAAAAACACAGTAAGTACCATACGAAACTGCTTTTCCAGGATGCTATCTTGTGATTTCTTTATTAGTTTCTTTTCGATTCATTTTAACGACATCGTGATGTCCAGGTATAGGATCACATGGAATCGAGCATTGCCTGGCAGACATATTTTGAGTATGTCCGTATGTATAAGGTCAGCAATCTCTGATCATTTTCATTTGTGCAATCTTAATCAAGTGAAATACAGGGGGTGGTAATACAATCGCGTACCTACTGGGTAATGTAACAAGAAACACTGGAATAGTACACAATAGTACAAGGTTCGGTCTTTGCGCTTACATGCCCTCAGAGAGTAGTGAGATCTTAACAACTCCAAAACGCTGCTTGAAAAACCACTAAATTGCAATGTGAAACTATGTCAAACCAATATCAGGGTCCTATTCAGTCGTAAGCTATCTTCAGAACGCTGTGCATCCAAGCAAAGAACAGTGGCAAGAGACCCACCACATTGCCAAACCCTAAAGAACAACAATGAGGTCTGCAGCATCCAGCAAAAGGTGCAGAATAGGTTCGATTATCACTACTTAACAAAGATTAACAAGGTCTAATCGAGTCTAATAAGCCTTTCCGATCCTGTCCTCATTCAGCGCTGTCCGGTGGCTACCCTTGCGAAGTCAATGCCAAGCTTCCCGGAGAATGTTCCCGGCTGAGGAGAGCTGTAGATTCTCCTGGCATTGAATCCATCAACGAATGGATACGAATGGCACATAATGGCACTAATCACTAATCCATAGGAACCCCCCGTACTTTCCCATATTTCTCATATTTTCCACAAGCTCTCTGGAGAGTGATTCACAAGCAGACCCGTGCTATTCAAAGGATTTCAAAGGTACGAACACGCAACAAATATGAAATCACTGGATGCTGATGGGATAATGGCATCATGCTCTTGATCTATCATTCCCCAAACGGCCAAAACATGCCAAAACAATATTAGATTTTATATAGTTATTCTTGCCAAACCCTCTCAGGCTCCAGTCTTAACTTTCGCAGAGATACAGTAGCAAAAACATACTCTTGCAAAACTCAGCAAAAACTTTCGCAGGAGTTCCTGTTGTAAAAAACGTGGTTATGGTCATATGCAATCCTTACAAGGACCTTGAGATCAACTTCTAATATTGATACAACACGATACAACCACCAGCCACTGCAGCCACTGACACGAAGCAACATGCAACCGTTCCAGTTCCAGGCTCTCCTTTGCTCGAGCCTTCTGTTCAGCATCTAGGACTTCAAAGTCCTGTAGAAGTTGACTGGGTGCCGTTTTTTTTGATGTGTGGCAAGATAACGTAGATAACGGGGATGGCAAATCATTGGGGGAATATCAAGAGAGACGGAATGACCAAAGGATGCCACAGGGCGAAATAGAATTCAAGTCGACCCAAAGTTTGATGCACGCCTGAAACTGAATCAGGTCTTGGACTAAATTGATAAACAACAATTTCTGTCTATTTTGTCAGTCTTGTGCACTCGGGCAACATCGGGTTGGTGGAGGCAAAGGGAAGAACAAGAAGTCTTCGCATTGACTCTGAACAGTATTCAAAGACGCTTAGCTATGAGCAATGGAACTTGACTACCCCGACTTCACGTGCTAGCCAAAGGAACGCTGCACTACATTTTGCCCACGCTTGCGGAAAGAGTCCATGTCTGGTCTGTTAAAATCCCCTTAAATAGCCTAGTGCCAGAAGCAATTGAGACTCCAGCTGTCACCCCTCCAACCCATGGCATTCCATGTCCACAGCCATGCGCAGCTTCCTCACAGACCTCTGCTGTTTTGAGACTTGCATCCCTCGCCAAATCCTTGGTTGAAAGCTCCCCATGGCTGGGTCACTCACAGCGACCAGCCCAAAGACTTGGACGGTTGGAAAGACACAGGTTGAACCTAGCTCCAAATAATTCCAAATATGTCAAGGTCAACAACAATGGGGGACCAACCCACCCACAAGATTGTAAAATATTGTAAATACACAATGGTTTTACTATGCTGTTCCATGATCAAATCTGATCAACTAGAATTATAATGTATTATATATACATATTATTTATTATACACATCAATTGTTGACCATCATTTTTGCTCCTTCCATGGTACTAAACCCAGCGGCGTAGTCTGCCTGAGTGACGAAGGCGGCGTGAACCTTGGAGGGCGCTGTGGAATAAAACCGCACCTGGGGTATGGATCGTTTGATCAACATGATATTCCCATTTTAAAGGTTATGATTGTATATATCTAGACAAAGTCAGAGTCACCCAACAAATACACTGCAAAATACTATCAAAACACAGTTCGTCAATGTCAAGTTTGGATTGTGCAGAACTATGTAGAACTACGCCGTTGGAAGAAGACCTCGCGCAGGATTCTGTACAGTCAAAGACTGCTCCACATTGTGAGCATCCTCTAACATGTACAATCGCTTCCGGGCAAAGCTATGAAAAAAATGAACAGCGTGGTGTGGAATAGTCTAGTGTCTGGTATATTTTAGTACTACTCTTCCTGTTTGCCAGAGCATAGAATTTGCATGGACTTTTCCATAATAAGATTAATAAGACTGCAAGTCGTGTGGTGCTCTTAAGGAAGACCATGATCCCAACAGGATCGCCGAGAAACCGGTGCCAGACAGATTAGAGCAAAGGCGCGCAAAAACACCATCATCTTTAGATTCTTTTGTCTTTAGTGATCTGCTTTGAAATCTGTGCTGACTGGATTCTCAAGTTGTACCTGACGCATCCTAAACACTTCGGTGTTCTTTGCTTTTTTTGATTTCTTTGGATCTCTCATGCTCATGCTGCTCTTCATGAGTTGGTTTTTGAGCACTGGCAACTGGCGAGATGCCATGGATCACTGCTTCCAGTTTGCCTGTAACACGGCGCCAGAATAACTTGCACACCTCAATGCGTGACTTGGAGACCTATCAATCTTTTCTAGATCAAATGTTGATGCGAACTTCCGATGCATACTTGTCATCGACGGACTTGCATCCATGCCTCCTTGTGGGTCTGCAGCGCCTTGCGTTGCGTGAATGGGGCACCTTTTTGCCGGCACTACTGGTCATAGATGATCACCCGCAAGAAGTCTTCCATGGTTGTGGATTTGCCCAAGGAGATCAAAAGAGCAAGTTGTTTGGAATCGACCAGGCAGACATTCCGTTGGGTCTCCGGTGAATCTCAACAATCGTTGCCAGGGTTCCTCTTGAACTATGAATTCCAAGTCTCTACGGCCGACCTCTCCACTACACCAACAGTGTTCTCATGTTTTCTCAACTATTTTTCGAAGGTTTCATCAGTTTCATGTGCTATTTCAATACATGTCCCTTGTCTCTGTTTTCTTTTTTAATCACGCCGCTCTCAAGGAGAAGGTGGGGCCTAAATTAAATCCTGACGTGATAGACTCGCCTCCTAGCATGATACATAACGTATCATAACGTGATAGAATTGTCTGGACACTTGACACGTCCAGAAGCACAACTTAACACCATCCAGAACGGATTGCCTTCCCCATGTCCAAGTCACACGGTACCTGGCCCGTGCAGGGCCGTGCAAAATGTGCAAAGGATAATGAAAGGGGACAATTCGGGACGATCATTTTAAGATGGCGGAAAACATGCCAAAATGCCAAAAAGCATTTGATTCTGCGAACGAGATTGAAAATCATTGAACGATATGTCATGATGTTTCTCAAATGACAATTGAAGTGGCCATTCGCATTCAAAGGGAAAGGGAAAGCGATGACAATTGCATTGAGCGTCTCCCAAATCTCAATTCTCTGGTCCCATGATCTCAAAGGTGGGATGAGTCACCTATATACGTATAACCTATATATATATAGATTCAATGACACACTTGTGCCAATGGTGCCACTCAAGGGTACAGCATGGTACAGCATCTCCAGCAACCCACAAAAGCAACGTTAAACAAGCACATTTGAAATATTTTGCAATCTTGGAACTTCGAAGAACATCAACATCCACCTCACCCAACCGACAACATTTCACCCCCGCAACATCCCGCAACCATTTCACATAGCATACTCAGGCCCAGGCCATTTTCTGCACCTGGGCTGACTCTTGGGGCTCATCACGGACATGGAGCTTCTGGACGACTGGATCCAACATTCCAACATCACATCATCACCAGTGAAGTTAAAAGCAAAGAGGAAAGGAAGCTTGCAACTGAGCCCCCAGGTTCGGGACTGAGTGCTACAAGAGAAAACAACAATCATCATCAAGCGAAGATAAAATTCTTGCAAGCATATGTTGGCGATTGTTGGCGCCTTGTGGTCACTGGAGCACTTGTATTCTCCCACTCCACGCGGTCTCAGAACCTGGGAATCTGGCGTGCAGGAAAAACCTATGACATCTTGGAGGTTGCAGGGGATGAGACACAAGACCCCACATGAGCTGTGTCCAAAAGGTATTGTTCTTCCGAAGGCGCTAAGGGAATGCTTGCGCGGCAGCTTACGCGCTGCTTGCGCGCCCGCAGTTTTAGCTTACGCGCGGGAATAGCTTACGCTGATGCTTATGCGGGCTTACGCACACCAGGGTTTTGCTTACGCGAGGTCCGTATTGCCACCCTCTTACTAGAAATGAAACAGGGGGTTTTGGACGTGGCTCACATGGATCGGAAAAGACCGCCTTTGTACTTGAATACATTTGCATCATGCTGCGTCAGGTACGAGTACCATCATTGAGCATTGGCAATACAGGCCCATGGATACTCAATGCGTGAGATTTGAGTGCCCTGACCACCAAGTCCAGCTGATTGCCACGCCTAAGTCTAGGTGTGGCAAGGGGAGGTTGGAGGTAGGAATATATGATAGTAGTATATGCTGTATATGAATGTATCCCCAAAACAGCAAGTCAAACACAAAGGTTCTACACAATACACATTTCAGCTTGCCGATTTGGTGCATTTAAAGATATACTGTATATTCATAATTTTTCATAGGATGTCTTCTCGGGGTCCATGTCACTTTACAAATCCACTTGTAGTCCATCATTGTCATCTGATCACAATTCTTCACCATCTTCACCTTTGCGAGTAGGGAACTGTAAAATAATTCCTACAGTCCTACAAACTGCCAGACATTCAAAGTGCAGACATGGTCACAAACATATCATTCCCACGCTGGGGACAAACTCTCTTCACTGTTTTGGTGAGACGTGTGCCTTTGCCTTCTTATTGCCGCACCAAGCCAGAGAACAAACTGAGACGCTCACTTTGCGGACTTAATCACCTGCCGAAATCAAATTCGTTCACAATCTGCCAGGTGCAAGTTTCAAATGGTAGGAGCAGTTCCAACATGTTGGGCAAAGACTCTATAGGTTTAGAAAATGCAAGTGGCACGTGTTCACTTCACCCCTTCCTCGCTTCCCATTCAGATCCATTTCGACTGCAGCAAGACTGGACTGTCTTGACCAACCTTCGCTGAACATCATGTAAACCCTTCCCAGAATCACTCAGCAAAGCGATGGTACACACGTTTGAATATGTTATTCTTTGAGCATGTTTAATCCAATGAAATTGAGACTAAGGTGGGGCGATATGTGCCAACATCATATCATTTTCTCAGCTGCAGCTAGCTTGTCAAAAGATATGCTGGCAGTTGCTCCGCAGTTGCACTGAACTGCGAGAAGCTGCCGGAGAGTCGCCAGAAAACCAGCAAATTTGGGAACACAACAACTGCAAGGCTCCGACTACTACGCATAACCAAACTGACTAATCATGACTAAGCAATCAATATCAATTGAGAAATACTTCCCCAGCGACATCAAAGTCTGCCACCAGCTTTGTGAGGAAACGGCTGGTAACGGCGCGGGCAGGTTTCCCCGCGTGGAACGATGCGGTGCTTTCAGCCCTGTTCCACACTTTGGCGCAGCGGCTCATAGGTCGGTGCCCTTGGGCAGGACATCCTGGTCGATGATTACTGGACATAATCCTTTGAACAAAGATGCAAAAAAGGTCTGTATATAATTACATAGGTCGACCGCTATTGATCTACGTATATTGATCTAGACTCCATATGGGGCATTGGCATCTTGACTTCCTTCTGTGAAAGTCTGTCAATCCAACCATGGAGAAACATAACGCTGCAGCTCCGCATTTCTCCAAACGAATCAACCAATCCCACGGTAGTGATCAGTAGTGTGTAGAGTAGACCCAAGGAATAACATCTTGGAACGATTTGGAAAGGTTACAGTTACAATGCCTGGAACCTTTTGCTAATTTGCCAAGAACCTCCACAAGCCATCACACACACGACTATTTCGACAAGGCACCAAAACTTCTTGAAAACTGGTGATAAACCAGTCAGCATTGTTCTTGACCTTCTCACGCACTGACACGCCACCTGCAGGTAGCGGCGCAATACGGGCATCCCCAATCGATTGCAGTCAGGGCAGCCCAAAAGCTTCCACTTTGATCCACTTTGCATAGTCTTCTCTTTCCGGAATCTGAATCTGATGAATTTGTCCAAATCCCAGGTCCCCTTCCACAGCCACCAAGGCACCATAGCCGATAAAGGCCTTGGCAGGGCCATGCAGTCGCGCGTCCAGGTCAGTGGCTCCGTCACCTGGGCATGATCTATCAAACATATCAAAGACATTCAAAGACATTAGGTCGGCCAATGATAGCTGGACTTCTTGGATGAAAGTGCCAAGCTTTCACTTCTTGGATGAAAGTGCCAAGCTTTCACATAAAGGCTACATTGCAACCTCTTGAATATCTTAGATATCTTAGATGACAATGAGTTTGTTCATGGACTTTGACAGAAACTCAAGTCTACATATTATATATATAATATATATATATATACATACACACACACACTTTCTGCAGCGCTCGCAAGTGGACATACTTTGCAAACTGGCTGTGGAAAAGGAAGCAACTTAAACGACTTCCGCAGTCCTGACCTGACCTAGTCAACATGTTGGATTGTTGAATGGCACCAGTTTCAACCGCCACAATCGTGGGGGCAATCTCACCACCATTGAAAGACACTTGGAGCAACTTAGTCACCGATCATGATCATGTTCTTGTAGCCCTTCTTTCGCTTCCTGAGCAGCAGTCTGAACAAGTGGCCGAGCAGTACAGTAGTGCTTCAGTAAGGGCGAGAACACAGTGAGGGAATGGCATATGAGGACATTCCATGATCTCCAGTGCCTAGATGTAAACTCTGCAGCCATCAGCAGCCTATGTGCATCCAAGCGTCATCAATTTCAAGACTTTTGGCTTTCCGCCAGATGCGGAGGTGGGTGCACTACGGTCGAACCCCGCATAATTCCCCTCCTCGTCGAAGAGAATCTCATTCCTTGGGCTGCGACTAGATGTTAGATCGCATTCAGGTTGTGCATGTGATCCAATGGCATCTGACGCGTGTATGTTCATTGGGTCACAAAGCCCTTGTTGATGCAAACATGCATTTTACAGGTGTATTCTGCCTGGCCGTGGCCAGTGTCTTCTCTTCTGAGTGGTATAATTGTGTACAACTTCCAATAGCCTAGGAAACAAAATTCGACGATTGCTTCACATTTTTTTTATTGGCAGCGGAAAGGGTACATCAATGGTGTAACATAGAAAGGAACACTGCATCTTCAAGTTATGTGGCTGGCTCCAAACATGCTTCATCTGCAGACCTAAGAGCACCCGGCGCCAAATACCTCGGTATCCAAGAATCGCATAGATCATCTTCTGTGGGATGTGCAACTCCAACCTGATTTGCCATCCGAACTGCTCCAGCTACAATACAAGTGGGAAAGGCTCCTAATTATTGATGTTGAAGCCATCACTTACACCAACTGAAATCTGCACCAAGGATCATCCTAAGACAACAAAACTCATCACCATCACAGCTGCTGTTACAATCTCTGCTGCATCAGGTCTCAGCTCAAGTGATTTACGCTACGATCCCTCCCTTTCAGTATTTTCAATGCTTCCGCAAGACGCGATGGGCTTGATCATATTCTGGAAACCACCGGAGACCAAATAGACCTGATCTGGTTTGGGACTGGGGGAAATCTGTTCCTTCAAGGTGATGGTGATCTTTTCGTGGTTCCATCACCGCAGTGGAAGATGTTGCAATCGCTTCGCTCGCCGATTGGTGGATCAGCGATGATCAGCTCAATCAAAACCCCGGATCCAAATGGATCCAACATTTAAAATGAAGCACATGCTTCGGCCCGACTGAAACCAGCACATGCTTCGGCCCCTAAAAGTAAGCCACGCAGCCCGACGGTTGATGGGTTGCTGTTTCTAAGCCAAGGTTGGAGACTTCACTCTCCAAGACTGCATGCAGGAATGTCGTCAAGTGGAAAATCTTTAAATGTCGTCAAGTGGAAACACTGAAGAACAAACACCCTGCAGGAACACCTTAACTCAGAAACAGTGTCAAGGATCTTTGAGGCAGAACATCAAGTAGAATAGAGACCAAAGTGGATCAAATTTGTTTTGAAGTTGCGCCCATGTGATTCATTTTCGACGGGATCTGGAAGACCTTGAATTCTCATATCTTTTGGTAGTGCCGTCGTATGCATCCTTCAAACATTCAGTGGTTGTAACCTCCGCAAATGTTCGGCAAGCGGCATCTGTTCCCTGCTTGTGAAGCATTTGGACAAACTCTCTAACTCCTGGTGACCACTTTGGCACACCTCGGTGTTGTGATGAACTGAGGGTCCAAGGATGGTATGTATCGGGGTTGATTGGGACATGAAGTTCTTGTAAACGATGCTAGGACGCACGCCTGTGTTCAAAGAGTTTTTGCATGACATAGTTCTTCCTGCGTTGTATTGTAACCCCTTTTGATCAAGTGTTGCTCTGAGAGGTGTTTAATCTAGATTCATGATTGCATTTTGCTTTGGACAAATCCTTTCTTTTGAACCCCCTGAATAAACTCAAAAGAATGACCCTGAAGATGATCGGTGCCCTGCAATTTCGAACAATCGAAACATACACACAGCCCTGCCCTGATGGGGGTTATGGAGAGAAACACTATGGAACGCTCACGTTGCAGCGATCAAAGCGTTGACGACACATAGACGTAGACCCACCCCGCACTAAGCATTCTAGACTTTTTTTTTCCTCTCTCTCTGCTCTCTCTCTCTCTCTCGAGCTAAGACCTTTACCACCCCGAAAGCGCCTTCTGTCTTGACGCACTTCTCCAATTTCTCTTTGGTCATTCCATGATCTGCCATGAGCTGCAAACGCTCTGCCATTGCATCCTGTGCCACAAATCAATGACAATGTTTCCAGTCTGGTGAAGCCACCTGAAGCATTATTTTGTCAATTTTTGTCAATTGTGCTTAGTGAGTTCCCATGACGGAGATCAAATGCAAAGAAACGTGATTGAACTTTAAGCCACACCTGACAGGTCGAACCATAGATCGATGGTGCTGGCTCACATCTGAAAGTACTGGCTTGGGAGAATCAGCAATGAGTCTATTGCACACATGCTTTCTTGACCGCACATCTGCCTGAAACTTCACGTTGCCGTTCATGGCTTTGTGCGTCAGCTCTGAAATTTCTTTCCTTGAAGAGAAACTGTTGCCATGTCACATCTTTACTTTTAAATGCCTTGAAATCTCTACTGGAATCCCCGGATTTTCTTGTAATTCTACCTGTCTCTCATGTAGAACACAGTTTGGTCATACTGGTGAGAACACCACTCTGGAGTCTCACAAACGAGGCCGAGGGACTGGAGAAAATCCCTCGACGATAGCCACAACGCAACAAAAACATACCAAAACACAATGCAACCATTTGTACTCAGAGTCAGGTCTTGATCATGTGAACAGAAACATTACAGGGCAATTCAATTTCAACAATTTCAAAATTAAGTCTCTGTATTAAAAGAAAGGATCTTGGAACCATTTTGGACACCCTCTGTGGCTGTCATGCTTGCATGCGAGAAAAGGGGACAAGGAACATGATTCCAAAGCACTTTCCGATGAGATCAATGCCCTCGGTGGTCACCACTGTACCTGCGATGCGTTTCATTTGCCGTGTATCTTTGGAATCGGGATGTGTTTGGGAGAAATTTCTCCCGAAAGGCTGATACAGCGGCACAATCCCGAGGCTTTAACACGCTACTTGTATAGCATTTCCCATCTATATAAATCTCATTCCCCGTATTTTGGCACCTTTACCATGTTTACTCAGCAACAAACGGATCGTAAAGAGGGGTACTTAACCTCCAACTCGGAACGAAGCACTTACAGCTCCTTGCAATTAACATCCACTTGGCACATTTCAGTGGCCACATACGCGGAATAACGGAACTAAAAGGTGATAGTGTTGCCAGGAGGGATGTTTGGACCTTGGGGAATCATTCTCCGAAACATGATGTCGTGAAATGTCAACTAAATTACTGTATGTTTACGATATTTTACAATTATAATCAATTACTGTATAATTATGTGTGTATATATGACGGTTTGCCACAATGTCTTTTCCTGGTTTTGTTGATAAATCGTAATTCCTTGCGTGCCGCTTCTTATTGTGCCTTTCAAACACTGACTGATCTAAATAGTCTGAGTCTGAAACCGTGCATTTTATCTTTCATGTTTGAAGCCGTAGCTAAAACCTGCAGTAAAAGCATGCTAACGCACGTCTATATGAAGTGGGTGCCGGTGCTAGTTGTTAGTGGTGGAACTGGTCGTTGCCTTTGCTGTCACTGTTGCTTTGTCAAACAGACAGGATAAACTACAAGTTCTCTGGTGGCGACTGGGTCACGGGTCAACCAAAGCCGTTTTTTGAAACTTTGCTAGCGCATTGCTAGCGGGGATCTAGCGGGTAAAATTACGTACGAATTCGCAAAGTTGAGCCGCAACCTCAAAAATATAGGAAAATTGTTGAGTAGCACTAAGACATCCTTAGGTTTAAGGAGCTAAGTGTTACATCTTGACTTTTCTTCATGTTGAAATAACAAGCAGACAGGAACACACACACACAAATATCCTTCAACATGGGTGTGAAAAAAAACTAGCGCAAACCTAGCGGGTTTGCTAGCGCTGCCTTGCAGATTTGGTGAATTTAGTTGCGTGCCGCCTCATAACGAAGAGGAAAAACAACTAGGTCCACACTAATTATCAACAACTAGTACAAAACTTCTGTCTAGTATATCATACTACTATATTATATTATCTGTGTTTATATGTGTATATCATATATCTGTGTATATATATATACATATGTTTTATTGCATGTCATTGTATGTTTATACAGTATATTATTACATTATATGCACAGTAATATAATGTCATATGTGTAATTGTGTATGTACTTCTACACACCATGACATACGCCACAAGGTTTTGAGTCTTCAGGGCTTCTGAGAGCTGTGATCCCTTTTCCAGTTCACCTCACTCCCCCTCGACACCAGAGCCACTGCTGGAATTTGAACCGATTGGAACGGATTGGAACCGACTGGAGACACAAGCAATCTTTCGGGATCTGCGAATGTGCGAATCAACATCAGCACTGCCACCGCTGCCACCCTTGTTTTGTCAAGGCGCTATCCACATCAAAGAACACCGCGTCTGCCTCTCGCAGGATCCGCTTGGTTCGATCCACTGGGTCTTCCTTGTCCGAGCCAAAAAAGGCCAGTGCTAGTGGAGAGCCCTGTGCCAGGCTGGCAGACACCGGACTCCGAATCAAGGCTGAATCAAGGGGCTACAAAATGTTACAAGGGCATACAAGGGCTACCTTCCCTCATCTTCCCTCACATGCCACTGGCAAACATCGGGGGCTACTCACGACTTTCAGACTTTCTGGGTCAGTCTACGAGTTCGTGAAACGCACCTCGGGCGCCCAAAGATGCCACAGTGCTGCCAGGGGTGCAGTGATTGCCACAAGCAAACAACTTCGGCTACGGCGCAAAGGAGCCATGTGGTGCACCTCAGGAGGGGACCACCTGGTGGTCTTGTGCAGGTGTGTTTCGGTATCAGCATTGGATGGATGGATGGATGGATGCACGGATGCACGGATGATCATGATCTTGTGGAGGAGAACCAAAAGGAAAGTTCAGGAGAGCTCTGCAGTGATAACACACTACGGGTGAATAGCACCAGCGAGAAGACTGTTTGACGAGAAGACTACAAGTGTTTGCCTCTCTTGAAGTAGTCTGTCACAAACTTATCTAGTTATCCACATCGGCATGTTGCCTTTTTCATGAGTCAGTCACCTACACTCAACAAAGATCAATGCCACAGTTGTATCGCACAAAGAAAATGCATAATTCAGCATCGTTTAAGACTACAAACTACGCGACGCCAAAGAATATTGAAATGCATCTCAAAGTCTCAACAAATAAGTAATCATGAGCAATCTATTCAAATCCTACTTTGCCTTCACATTTGTGAAATTGATCTCTTGCAAGCTAGGACCAGGGCTCGGGTGAGCAGCCTGCAGCGCGCCCTTTAAAAGTGTCAGAGCCAACTATGGCTGAGGCATTGCAAATTGAGAATCTGCTCACCTTCTGCAATTTTTCAGATGATGGTGGAAGGATGTATCGGATGTGGAAGGTCTTTTCCGAACACCTTTTCAAGTCGTATGGTTAGAATTGGTTAGAGTGTTTAACGATGTTTAACGAATTCTACAGCCGAATGATCAATTGATGGGAGCTCTCCTGATACTTTGTCTGTGAGTGCTGCCGCTGACCACCATACCAGTAGATTTCTGGGCTTGTCCAAGAATGTACCCGGGTACCACCTAAATCCACTGGTTACATCTGGTTACAGTAATCATCATTTTCCCCAAGCAAATGGCCATTTAATGCCATTTAGGGATATACAAAGCTCGTTTCCAGACACACCCCATATGTTTGCATCGCCCCTCATCTGGTTGCACAAAATCAACCATGAACATCTTCCCAACCTGCTCCATGCTCTGGACACTGTGGACGAAAACGTCGCCTAGAGATATCAGACAAAATATGATAAATCATAGACTTTCGGAGTGGATTTCTTTGTCACTGCATCTCACCACTATCATCCACCACCATGCAGCATCATGCACCATTCCTATTTGAGAGCCACATAGTTTCAAACAAGAACCCAAAAATATCCAAACACGTAAACCTGAAACATACCTGTCTTCAAAAAGGGCCTCTGCTCACTGCGAAATTTGGCCCAGCCTATGCGCAGGATCACATCTGCAGGCTTCAGCGCCTCACTACATACCATATCCTTGCGGCGCTGACAGTGAGCAAATCATGCGTGTGTTTGTGTCTGTGTGTGCACTGGTGACTTGAAAGTTTGAAAGGATGTACAGGCAGCTTTCTGAATGAAGTGCGCAATATAAAAGTACGTATAAATACCGCTCCAGCCAAACATGAATATTCGGGCTTTTGATGAATTTGGTGCATTTCTGAGGGCAGGCGTCTCACTTGCGACTGTCACATTAGCTCACCTGCGACTGTCACTCACTTGTGAGTGTCATGACTCACTGGCGACTGTCAAATTGGCTCACTTGTTTCTTGTACCTGTCCTGTTTCTTTGGACTGGGCTTGGGGTGGGGCAAAAGCGTTCACTGGGACTTCACACAAGTTGGTAGCTGGGGTGGGGCAATAACGTTCAAAGGAGAAACAGAAAACATGTTAGACAGAAGAAGAATAATTTGACGTTAACACTGACAGTTGTGACAAAGGTGGTGCAAGTGACGATGATGATGATGATGATGACGACGACGACGACGACTATAATTATGATTCTGATGGATCGAGACAGTCACAAGCGAGCGAAAACGACAGTCACAAGCGAGTCACCGCCCATTTCTGAGAGGTTGTTTCGCCTTTGCTTTCCGATGGCACAATCCTAAACACGGGCAATTTTCGGATGGATTCAGAGGCTACTGTACTTGCCCAGGCCTGCCCACCACTTTTTATTTGACATGTGTAAGCTTCAGGACTTCCCTTGAGATTTCTGGAGACCCTGAAGACTTTCATATCCTTCTGGCAGTCAAAGAGCAAAGCTGTGCCCATCAGTGCCCAAGAAACCAAACGAAACCGCTCTCCTCAATGCCACTGCATGGACGCTTCGTGGATGAGTATTTGGGCGCCACACCCTGTGGCACTAGCACGTGAGGAGTCATCCAAACTCCAATCGCAAACATTGGTACAGGAGCATGTTTGATTTCAGCACAGAGTGTTTTCGTGTTGGCCAAGAAATACGTATAATCAATTACATGCAACCAATACAAACTTGTAAGAAAAGAGGTATATGTGGCGCAAAGCCCGAGCAAAAAATGCGGTGCCTAAATGAAACCATTCGATCAGTCGTTCAGAAGCAAATAACAATTTCATGAAAGCTGGTGAGGACATTATGATTTCGACACCAAAGGAGCTGTAGCAACTGTAGTCGGCAGTCCCCTGCCTTTTCAGCTGGCAAAACAACCACAGCACCAGTGGCAGGGATCCAGAATCTGGGGCCGGTTTGTGGCATGTAATGAAACTCAGATAAAATCAGTGAACATCATCAAATTGTCAAAGCTCTGTGGCATTCTCGAGAATTTCATTGCCTTGCAGTTTACCAGCCAAGTTGCGGGGGTCGACCACAGGCACAACCTTCAGAGACAAGAAGAGCATGACACTTGTCAGCAATCTCGGTGTCTGTGAGATATTGTGAGATATTCTGTTTAAGTCTGCTTCACACTTTTACGCAATGACATGCAATGACTAAAATTGTGGCCTATCACTTCAGTTGCTTTGGCTTTGACAGGGTTTGCATGGGTTTGCCAGGAAGAAATACCCAAAAACCAATAAAGTGCTTGGATGTGCCTGGTATGGTCCAATATGTCCAATGAAGGATAGCTACAGTTGGCATTTGAATCCTTCCCATCACCAGGGTCTCCCAGCCACAAGCACCACAGCTCCCAGGCCACCTGGCACCATGGTTGGGCCCCAGGTGGAGGGCACAACACACACACACAACCTTCAACGGAAGAATCGCAATGTGTACGCTACAATACGCTACAATCCCAGTGCCTTCCTCTTAGTGGACACCTACTATAAATCATATTAATATGGATCATTCATTGTGAATGATCGGAAGGTTCCAGAGTTGGCATTCAGCACTGCCAGGACTCAACATATTTTGGAGAAGCCCAGCTGCCTTTCCACCTTGGATGAGTTCTCCAAGAGGATTTCCAGCCTTCGCAGGTGAAGGGATGGGTTTGCATTTCAATTCCAGTATCACCAGTATCTGACTCCAATCTGAATCCAATCCTGAGGAGTCCGGGGAGTGTGGATTGTGATGGATTATGACTTAGAGCACGGTGTTCTGATATGGAGACCATGAGCACTACAGATTGTACCAAAATGTACCAAACAAATACCGCCAGACTTCCTGAAGTTGACATAGCTCAGGATGTCTCAGGTGTCTGCTCGGGTTCAGTAGTCACGGGTGCGTAGGCTCTCCCTTCCTGGCACTGGCAGAGCTGCACTGGCAGAGCTGCACTCCTGCTGGCAAAATTAGCAAGAATCTATAGAAATCTCCTAGTAGCTGGCTGAATCATCTTTGCAATCTCGGGAGCTAAAGAGCTTCCCAAAATCAAACCTACCACAAAATACTGTGAATACTTGGGAAACCGGAGCGCTTCCGGTGGACAGCTCATCCTGTGTTATGCCAGTTATGCGATGAGTTTCCATCATCAGCAATCCACTGCGGAATGAGAAAACATGCAAACTTAAAAACTTTAGTTTTTTCGCCAGACAGCCTCTCTTTCAGCCGGCATCTTATCATTGCCCTATTGTTCGTCCCACTGGCTCCATGAAGAGCTTGCCTGTGACTCAGGCCGGCTACAAACTGCATGAAAACGACGCTCTTGAGCCTATTCAACTGTAATTACATACTAGTACTACAGTATATAATGGAAACTAAAGACCACCGCACCAAAAGCAGCTGCCTTCTTCCTTCTGTAGCGGGCCTTTGAACATCTGATTTCATGTTTGGCCAGTGATGTTGAAACGTCAACACCAGTTTGTTCTTTTCTCATTGAAATCAATCGACCCCAAATCCTGACCTTGCATATCTTCACAGTGAAAACCCACATTGACCTTTGGTGAACTAGCATCTACAATACATAGGTCTAAGTGGTATACATATTTGAAAGCAACGCCTTAGAACAACAATGGAACATATGTGAAAACGAGATTCCAAACAAACAAACTTTTCTTAATAAGACCAGCAACATTTGTACTTACTTTCTGCGAGCTTGAGATACAAGGATCGCCTAGAATTTCTTCCCATGCGTGGACAGTGGATGCCTCCAAAATATCAAACATAGACATATTATGACATATTTATAATTGGTCTTCACTTCCGCATTTGTTCTGTCGAACTAGCTACTGTGAATCTCAAAACCACTTCCTCAACTCTTCCAAGTGGCTCCGAGGCAGAAACACCTTGGTGCTATGATGCCAAATCCAAACTATCCAAACATTGTAACATATTGTAACTTGATGTCGTAAAGCTTTCAAGCAGCCACAAGTCAACGACTGCATCGTCCTGTCACAAAGCTGCAGAGCACTAAGCAAGCGCTGGATTTCAGATTCAACCCATCGATTTCCCCAAATGCCATAGCTTCCAGATGCTTCTAGATCTTCCAGTAAAGGTGCTGGAAGTATTTCCACCTATCTCCACCTCTACTGTTAGCCCCAAACCATATCAATTTTCATGCCAGTCAGCTCATGTAATCCTTCGTTCTGAATCATCAACTGCAAACTGCTGGGCTTCTGGCCCTATGAGCGCTATAGCCTTCGGCACTCGTCGCTTACACAACATATGATCAATGCTGAGTCGGGAGTTCACTTTAATTGCGCTCAAGATGGTGGTTCAAGAAGATTTGGCTTTGAGAACATCATGGCGACATCTTCACACCAAAATGATAATTCCTAGCATCGCTCCGGAATTCATGCTGATTGCTTGATCATCACTCACCACTCAAGCAACCCTTGTATCAGTCCCAATGAATACGATGAATGTTAAGATGAATGTTAATATGAATTGAATTCATGAATGTTAAATATGTGCTAAATCATGTTAATATATGTTAATATATTGTTAATATGAATACAATATAAATACAATGAATTTACAATGAATACTCCATCCGGGCTCGTCCCTTGGGGTTCATTCGGACGCGCTTGAGAATCCAGCCATGAGGATCCACCAGCCGAGGCTCCACCATGGTGTGGAGTCCTTTGAAGATCTTTGAAGTGCCACTTTTGGATCTACATCCAATTGATTCCAATTGATTCCAATTGATTCCAAATATTCCAATTGCATCCCATTGCTGTTTCACACAGACCCTTCTTTCATCTTCTTTTCCACTTGAGTCTTGAGCGATCTTGACAGTGTGTTTGACAGCCCCTTGTTATCCCTTGTTCAAACATCTCCTCTTGGAACTCTCTTCTCGACTTCTACCTTCAAATAATTCCGAGTGCTGAGCAAATATGCCATAAACTGGTCGTGGAAGGAAGGAACAAACACAAATAACATAAACATACATAAACATACATAGAGTAGCACCAAGAATTGCCCAATGGAAGAATTGCCCAATGGCGCGCGCAAACACACATGCACACACAAACAAATCCGCACGCAAAAATCTGACCGGACGCATTGTAATATCAGGGGAAGACTTCGGTGTCGACTTCAAACCCTCATCGCATCCATCTCAATAGACGAGCGTCATCTGCCAAACTTGCCACCTTGAAGTAGACCTCAGCTCAGCAAACTCTCTGATCGAAGGCTTGCGTGTTGACTGCAATGGCCTGGTGGCTCTGCAAATTTACTGGACTGTACCGCACTGGAAGGACATATTGCACAAGGAATGTGACTAGGACTACTAGGACTACTAGGACTTGTAAGTGTAGCATAGTGTAGCAAAAATGTCCGCCCTGGTCCCATAATTTGATTGACGCTCATGTTTGGACTGCCCAGCTGCCTTGTACTCGCTATCTGGGACCTCAGCAAGTAGAGCTACAAGTTACAAGACTTCACAAGTTTAGAAGGACAAGGAAGCACTCACATTCTGAACTCCACAAGGGTGGGTCAGATCCTACTTAGTATTACCTAAGTGATCTAAGTGCCCTGCAATGAAGGTGAAAGTAGCCATCTATTCTTTGGCAACTGGACCCCAAGAGCGAGCACCCAGATTGTGATTCCCCGGCTGAGTCAATGTTGAATATTGTCCAACCCCGCAAATCCGTTCACGGTCCGTAGATTGAAACGTCGCCCAGGTTTTGACTTGAACCCGAAGCATCCTGAATCTCAATGATGATGGATACCTCTTCAATGTTGTGACATATGTGGTCTGTAGATGTCTTGGAGAGGTTCCTGACCCTAAAACCATCCTAAGCCTGCATGCTTGCGACACCGCAAACCTTCGTACTTTGCAAACAAATGCAGTTTGCTCCCACAATGAAAGATTCAACATGATCAAATCATATCAAATCCATTTGTGCCCTCTAAACATCTCCAAACTCCCCATATCATTCAAATATTCAATATCATTCACACAGGTACGCTCAGGATCTCTGGGATTTCCCTGCGAGTTGAGAGCTTTGGCAATCGATGTAGCGGTTGCAAATGGTACTAACCTCAGCAACTGCTGCTTTTTTAATTTAAGACAAACACATATTCCAGAAGAAGGTGTTTGAAATCAGGATGAAACATCTCTGCCTTGGCGCCTTGAATATCCAAAAGAACCAGTTTTCTTTGATGAATGCTGAGAATGAATTGTCATACCTGCAGGTTGCGTTTTGACCCTTGGGCTGCATCAAGTATTTAGTGAGGAGTACACCTTCGAGACTTCCCTTGACAAAAACTAGACCGTCGATGGTAGAGCAGGTACAAATGGTGAAGGTCCAAGAACTGTCATTCAATGTGAGACTTTGCTGCCAAAACTTCCGGGTATTAATTTGTGCACACGATACTCGCGCGATGAGTCTTGTGAGTCTCGTAATTATGTGACGTCGCATGTGGCCATATCATAGCATTATCCAGAGGTTTCAAAATGCTGCGACTACTATTTTTTATGCGACGAACCACCCAGAGCAAGAGTGGCTCCGCCCCAGGTCGCCCGGTGCGGATGTCGAGGCAAGAAGCAGAGCTGTAGGCAAAGCAGTTGCAAAACCTCTCACGGTTGCTGATAGACATGTTTAACATGTTTATAAACACCGTCCACAAGAATCTACCAAAAAGATCCAAAAAGAGGAAGTCCACAATCAGTGCGCAAGTGACTAGGACACAGGAGTATTGGGAAGCTTCGGAAGTACACTGTACATGGAGGTATGAGTCTCAATGTACGAGAAAGCAGGCAGTTGGACTATTTCGTATAGTCATCTGGCTAGCAGGCTTTACTACCACAACTGCTTGAACTTCCTTCCCGAGCTAGTGATTACTTGTTCCTGATTGTATCGAACGAAATGACTCAACAGGGGCAAAATCATTGGCAGAATGAGCTGGAAAGCAAACTGGCGCCAGATTTTTTGTAGCGCACCGCTCCAGCACCCCAAACCCACCGCCCGTTTGGATATCCAGATCCCCGCCCTACCATGCCCTACCTACTTCGAGCACAGAGATCACGGCAGTCGCCATAGGAGATGGTGTGAGGACTGTCCTAACCAAAGCTCCGGGAGACCGGGGAGACCGGGGAGACTGGCTGCTTTTGGGTGATTGACAGCAGTGTGGAAGACGATCCAATACCAGTAGATGGTGTTTTATGGTGTTTTTATATGCGGTTTATTGCGGTTTCCATTCCTGAAACAACATTTTCAGATTCCAACACTGATAACACCAGATTCCTGGACTCACAAGTGTGACATGCCGCGTGTCGTGCCTGCATCAGCAGGTTGCCCTGCCTGCAAGTGGTTCAGTCCATCAAAGTGCTGGAGAATTAATGAAATTGTATGGTCATTCTTGCGCGGCCTCTATGGCCCATTTCCAGCTTAAAGTCATAATGGAAACATTGAGATGCTAGTCTTAACTTGTCTTACCTATGCACCCAATGGATTACTGGCAATTGGGGTTTGATGAATCTGAATTGTGCCTACATAATGGGAGCTAGGTTCCTATGGCTGCTCAATCCAAGTGCAATCAGTAGGAACACAACATGGCAGGGTACTATGATAGGACCTGGTAGGATGCCAAATGAGCTTGAAAGAACTTCAATTGTGAAAGGACAGTCGACCCTGAACCAGCAACGATGAGCATCAATCCGGAAGAAACCCATGTGGGTATTGTATGGATTCGTATGGTATTGTCGCTTCTCAGCAAATTGTGCTATCGTAGAAGCTCATGAAGCATCCTTTGGAGTGGGACATCCCATGCAAACAACTCAGTCCAATCGACCATTATCCTCAATAGATTAGCAGCAACAACATGAGAACTTTGAGACCACAGTTCCAACAGTTGGATCACTGACAATTCACATCATTCGAAAACATTCAAAGATCAATGGCACCAAACATGTCAAACGGAACCAACTGTATGCAGTCTGAAGATGTCTGAAGAGGAAGCGCTTTTATCAGCCAAAGTCAAGTCTACTTAATGCATCTCAATGCTATTCACGGTCATTTGTTGACCGTTTTCCATCCTTTTCCATCATATCCCGCATCTCAAACCTGATACATCCACCTGATGCATCCCCGAGGATTGGGGCGCCCTGGGGTCCCAGCTCTGGAGTTAAAATCCCCATGACCTCTTGCCATTGGAAAGCTGGCGGATCCTGAAGCGTCTAGGAAGTGGTTCACTTTTAGGACGCCTGAAGGGAGCAAATTTAGCAAATCCATTAATATGTCTTCGAATGTCTTCGAATATCGATCTTTCTTGATCCACCTTCTTTATCTTCTTTCTCTTATTTGCCTTTTGCTTCCATAACAAAGAATATCAAAGAATAATATGAAGCTTCACTGGTGGAACTACCGCTTAAAAAAACAGCTGCCAGTTGCGACAATGACTCTTCAGTAATTTTTGAGCATTGCTGTGCAGATCGGTGCAGTATGTTTCTCGCCCATCCCTTCTCAGAACCTCAGCTGGGGCCAACTTCATGTAGAGGTTCGTCCCCGGGACATCCTGTAAGCTGTGATGGGCACACGGATATGTCGCAAACAGGTTCTCCAGGGTCTCAGTGGTTCTCCCCCCTCCAAATAGAAAACGCTTGAAAGTGGTTTTCTTTCCAAGTGTCATGCCATTGTGAGAAAATCACTGCAAACAGGTGAACGAAATGGAAGTGAGTGATGCAGAATGCAGTGACGATCACGGTCAGATTCTGGGCTGTTTCAGGCTAAAACATTGTGATGGTGGTAGTTTGTCTATCTTAGAGCAAACAACGCCGTGCAAAATCACTCAAGAGGACAACTCAAAGATCATAAAGGGCCCTTACAAGAGCATTGAAGGCCCCTGGAACCACACGTCATGACATGGAACAAGGAATCAATTCACCAAATGAATAGAATGCAAACAGGCTAAGGCTGAGTGAATCAACAAGCGCACATCGGCTTGAAAGCCGGAGTCAATTCTTGGAGAAAGGATGACATGATGACTCAGGGAATTAGTGTCACTGACTTCCTCAATGCCTGAAAGCACAAAAACAGCTATTGAAATCAATTGAGCCAATGCAACTAAAAGGCATCAAAACTGCATAGGATGCATGGAACAATTCACCCAACACTGAGAGTGTGGTCCAGTTGAGCCACTTTGAATCAAGATGGCGGAAACTCAAGACTCGAGCACAACTTTCCCAACCTTGAGGAAGATCTTGTTTGGAAGGCCACTGGCACCCTTTGTGATGACACCATAGAAATGGCCTCGGGCTGCAGAGGACAACACTTGAACCCTGATGCCCAAGTGAGCGCATCCAAGCAACTTGTGACTTGGTAGCTGTAGTTTACCAATTGTTCCCAGGCAGTCTGGAAGCTGTCTGAGAAAAGACACTTCAGGGTTTCAAAGCAGTTCCGTGCAGTGTCGGTGTGTTTCTAGTCATTCTTGCGGAAGGTTGTTGGACCATTCATGCCGGACATGTGCTGGCATGTGAAGCTCATCCAAGCAGTTTCACTGAAGAGTGCTTGAGACAACTTTGCTATAAAATGTTACGCTAGGGGGCTGACGTTTGCGCGCAACCCACGGAATTCCATGCGGGACTGCAATCTGCTGTGTTGTTTCGGCGCGTACTTTTCGCAAACTGTGCATTTTTGCGCTTACCTAAGACGGTGCCAAAATCACCTTTTGAACCATGTCTTAAACATATTCTCCGTAATTTGCAATATTTCGAGCCGTGAGCTAAAATTTGGACCTTGACACACCGTAAAACCTTGAAAGAAGCCGAAAATAACCAAATGAACCCTAAACAAACCCTAAAAAGACCTTAAATAAACAATAAAACAAGGAACAACCCTAAATAGCACCAAACAATAATTCAACAAACCGTAAATAAACCCTGAACCAACCCTAAAGAGAATCGAAACCAACTTCAAGTAAACCCTGATACAAGCTTAAATAAATCCTAAATTAACCCCAAAGATCCTCAAAGTAAGTAACTAACCCCTCCGATTGAACTTTGGGGGAATGTCCGCCCCGGAGGGAACATATTATAAAATCACCACCGTTTAAAGGTGGGAGGACGTACCCAAAATGTAAGCTACATTTTTCAAGGTGTTTTTGAGGGGGACATTGAAAATGTAAGCTTACCTTTTGAAGGTATTTGGAAGACTCTCTGCACAAAAAGGTTACCTGGGGGACGTTCAGCGACCAATTTTACATTTAAGGGCGGGGTTCCAAAAAATGTATCTTACATTTTGGTATGGTCCCCCCTGAAAAGATCTGAAAAGTAGCCTTAAAAGGGTGGTGATGTTATAAAAACAATTCATAATAAGAATGCTTGTGATGTTAGCTGGTTACGCAGTGTCTGCCACTGTGTGACTTTGTTGCCTGGCGGTTTCTAGACCACCCCAAGAAATTTTGCACCCTGGTACATACCAATCAAAAGACGTTGAAAAATAATAAAGGCCACACATGATCCGTCAACGACAAGTTCACCTTGACTGATTGAAATCCAAATAAAGAGACAAAGACTTAGGTCAAGCGCCCGCTGAGTCAACACTTAAGAGATTACTTCTCCCATCTTCTCCCAGTTCAACTACCGGTAAGGCAAGGCCGGAGTTTGGGATGGAAGGACGACACATTTCATGAGGCTACCATCCTCACAGTGGCACGGAATTCCCCACGGGCTTGAGGGTCTCGACGCTTCTGGCAATGGCCGTTGGAAGTCACATACCTCAGGTTCAGCACAGCCAATTTGAGATAAGGCTAACCCCGTTACCATTGCGGCGTCAGTTGCACCACATGATCACACCTACACACGCACAGCGAACATTGCTTTGGCATCTGTGGCATACTGCGCCCCCTCTGAGCAAGCGGCTCCACAATGTCGCACCTTCGGAACACATGGAGAAATTCTAAGTAAGGTCTCACTCGCTAGGAACGACATGTTCTTCCAATACGATACTTGTATATCGCCACCTTTGCATCAACCCTTCTACAATACCTTTGAACATTCAAATGTCGAAACAGAAGTACTGCAAGTGCATCTGCAGCAGCCACACATCTTTTTCCTTTGCCAGAAGTGTATCAATCTGCCGATAGACGGACTCTTCTGCGAAAACTGCGCAATGACCTGTGGATGCCTCAGGTTGGAGCGACAAGCCTGCACGAACCCTGGTTGGTTCCGGTGACATCCCGTTGTTGTGGGACTGTATGATGTTGTACAAGAATGTTGACAATGTTGTATTATGCTGTATTCCATTTGAGCCATTGACATTGCCATATCACATGACGCAAATTGGAAGCTGATGCTGGCAAGGTCCAGCTGTCAGGACAGGCTATCTTTGAATAGAAGAACAACAAGACAACACCGCACTGACACAATCCGACACATGTCTAACATAGATTTTAATTTCAGCACAACCCAGTAAATCACGTAAAAACCAAAGGGCATACTGATTGCGGAGCATTTAACGAACATTATAGAATCTTATAGGAAAAATATGCCATGATACCGAACTTGATGCGCCGGATGGCCATCTTAATCTCTTAATCCCTATGTTTGCCTTAAGCCCCTGCGTTTACTTCAAAGTCGCAACCCACCTCTCATTTCTTTGGCACCCCCAGTCTGCCTCCAAATTTTGCACCTCCTTGGCTCTCTGCAACGCTTTCCTCGGGTGTGAATGTGGAACAATGACATTGCTGCATTGATGATCATTGATGGATGCCCTGCGCAGATAGTCAAATACTCTTGTAGGATTTGCTACAGGATCACCTGATGCCACACGACTGGTGCACAGCAGTTGTTTGCCAAGCTTCATCCTTGTTTTTTTTTTTTTCAGAAGGTGGGAGAGCCAGGGCCTTGTAGACCATTGATTGGCTCCACGCGAGGGCATAAGCGATGAGCCTCCTGGTGCCACTAAGTGAGAAAAAAGGAGGTAGCGGGTAGCGTCACCCTGACATTGGAAACTCCCAGTCCAGCTATGTCCTTTTAAGAGAACGTGCTTGTAAGTTCTTGTAAGACGATGTCCAGAAACCTGCTTGCAACCTCAGACCTCTCCGGCCATGGCAACCACTTGCCACCAGCCGCGCCTCAAAATGCTCCAAGCACGAAAGATACGAAAGGTTTTGGACCTTTGGAATGCTCCAGTCCAAAGCTCAGGCGACTCTGAACAGATCTGCCCCAAGCCCATGTGGGAACCATAGCGTAAATATGAAAATTGCCGTCGAGAAGAGATCTCTGAAGAAAGATAGCCTGAGATCAAGAAGGCAAATGGTGGAGATATGGTGGAGATGACAAAGGCTGTGCTCTTGATTGATGAATGGATCATCCGCATTCAACATTACTCAACTTTGCTTACTACAAACGACCCTTGAATCGCATTTCGGACCGGGGACATTGGCCATTAGTATGAGAACAAAAGTGCGCATGCAGAAAAAAACCGCTTGAACACCTCTGAGCTAATCTTGACATGTCTTGACTATAATTGAAAATCGCTGCTGCACCGAGAGAAGTTCCATGAAGTTCCTGTGATATCGTACCAACGGTAGTGCCGTTGAGATCCAAAGCATGCGAAAGACCCAGTCTGAGAATCATGACTGCAAGGCACAACTATTGCCCGATGATCCCAGCTCAGTATCACTAAGTTGCACACCTGCAGGTTTCCACCCAGTTTCCTGATTTATTATGCTCTCCTACATCAACATTCATCAACTATCCCACACTAAGCTTTCTTCCCTGATCCTGAATTGACTGGAAAAAAAACGGCTCCCTGCAGCGAAACTCACCCGGAACTACATTACATATGGCAGATATTTTGTTGTCTCTAGGTGCAAAGGGTGCCCAACCTGGGCTCAAGGGAAACCTCTGTAGAAAAAACCAAAAAAAAATTATGCCAAATTCCCCCCTTGAAAAATATACAGTGCATAGTGGCACCTGCCACCAAGGGTCGCTGCCAGAGATCTTTCGCAACGCCAAAATTGCGCAGAGCACGATGGGACTGCGCCAAATAAAAGATAGCCCATCAATGTTGCCACGCCTAGAAGGCTGGATTGTGGGGACGTGTTGCTATATTGCAACAGGTATGTTCGAAATCTTATATCTGGGAAATATTCCCAAACTCGTTGCTGCAATCTTCACTTGTTTCAAGTCGCACATTGGCAAAACACCTCAAAAACTGAAGCATCTTTATCCAACATTTTGAATGACCTATTGCCGGTACTGCACGTATGTGCCAGGCGAAACAAAGCTTTGAGTTTGAGCTGAAACGTTGAAATCCATTGAAAACCAAGTTTGCATTCAACACTCCTGCGCACCCTTTCCTTTTTTTCGCTTTCTCCAATCTGTTGCCGCTCTCACAACCTAGTTACTTCGACTTGGGGGGTTGCATTGCCAAAAGCATTGTGATGAATTTCCGCGGTACTGCTCACGACCACCTTGCAGAGACTAGGGCTGGCCAGGCCACCGGAATAGATGACTTCGCATTTTGGAAGCTCGACGGCCTCAAGGGCGGTGCCTCTAAAAGCGTCAGTTTCAATTTTCTTCAGCTCTGGCATATCCAGCCACTTCAAAGCAGCGCACTGATTAAATGCTGAACTCCCCACTGTGTCAACACCATGGCACACGGCGGACGCCAAACCTTCGCATTCAGCGAAGGCCCAGTTGTCGATCTTGCGACAGCTGCTAGGGAGTACCAATTCTTTTATGGCCGTCTGCTCAAACGAGCTAAAGCCCACTATGTGTAGACTGGGCGGCCATTCAATGGTCTGCAAGTTGTAAAACTTCGAGAAAGTGAGATCCGGCACTTTCACTAACCCAGGCGAAAGTGGACAGTGACGTAGATCTTGAACACATAGGCCGCAGTCTTCTTTGCTTGTGCAGGAGTACTTTTTGTATGACGCACTTGTTTTCAAGGTTTAGGCTGGCTATGCTCTGTTGTGCATCCAAAACTGGCCCTTGGCATAAGTATTGGCAGATTTGCCAGGGTGCCTGTTCTTAAGGCAACTGCGGTGAGGTTCCGACAGGCTCAACTGAAGCCAACTTGGTGGATTTGGGCACATTGAATGTAGTTTCCTGCCCAGCTAGGGAGCTTATGCGAATACAAATGGTTTCAGAACCAGCGCTGGCAGCTCTCTGCTTCTCGAACGGGATGCTGCCGCTTTGGGCAGCAGAGCCGGCTCCATGGACCTCATCCAAATGCTGTTCAAACATAAGGAACTCTGTATCAATCTGTAGGGCTTGAGCCAAACTTGAGTCAAGGACTGTGGCTTGGCACATGAGCAAATGGATAGTAATGGATACATACACTTTTTCAAGCCAAGAATAACATATACAATCAACTTCTGGGTTGTGTCTGCGTCAAACAAGATGCATCCAAATGAGCATCATCTTTGTTCAAGTAGTTCTCCAGAAGCTGCACGTCTTGCCGCAGCCTACAGGACATGCTGGTCATGCTGATTCAGATTGTGTTCAACAAATCTGGCACCAGTGACAGGAACTTAGCACCATCCAGCTGCTCTCGACAGCAGCTGTTGGAGATGAAATCAGGAGGTTTCACCATAGATGTCCCTCATACACTGTCATGAGTCATGAACATGCACTAAACATCACTAAACACTGCCAGAAGGAAAAATAGGCAAACAACAAACAATACAAACAAAGCAGGACATCTTCTCGCCTGCGGTTGGTTTTCTGCTCGTAGAAGCTTCCTGCCAGGTTGCTGGCAACATCTGTGGCATCTCTGGGTGCTGTTGGTGCCCCTGATGCCGGAAGATGGTAGCCCTGTGGGCTTTTCACAGAAGTCCAATTTTACAGGGAAACAACACCTGCCAGAAGGTTATTTCGTGTGGGCCTTGTTGGCCATTCTTTGAAGTTCTGGTATTCAAATCCTGTGCCCAATGGACCCTGAGAATCTCAATGACTATAAGACCCTGCTCCTACACAGATTGGACTGCAGCAAACCGGAACTGAACAGAACAGACCGAGACCCGTGCGCCAACGGAACAGCCAACCCTGTAGCGACTGAACAATCTAATCAAAATATATCAAAATACTGCAATCAAATCATAGCAATTCATAGCATAGCAAGTAGGCAATACAGCGGTGATAGCCTGGAAACTTACAGCCATTGCCGCACCATTGCCATTGGCCTGTCATGGCCTGTCCCGAACCTGGCCTGCCGGTTCTGGGAGCGTTGGAAGCTTGGATACATCGGTGTCTCCATGTGTCTCCAACATAGTTCATGAATGTTCATGAATGTTCATGAATGTTCAACAAGTCATTGCTCAAGGTGCGGACAGGATGAATCTTCCTGGGTGGGCCAAACCAGGCCGATCGAACGCGGGTGACAAAGTGATAAGCTTGGGACATGCAGTTTGATGATGAAATACCAAACAACAACAATACAAATGAGAATGCCATTCCATGCTAGAAAACATGCAGCATAAGGCTACGCGAACAGGGATGGAACAATGGAGCATGTCCTAATGACCAAGGTATGGTTGGGAAAGCTACCACTTTTGATCCTTGGGCAGCTCAACTTTCTTTCACCGAGTTTCATGTGTCACACCTACATAGCGCCAGCCCTCCGTGGAATTTGGCCAGCCAGGTGCAGCATGATTCTTGGATCGCAAGAGGCGTTCAGACCAGTACCAGGTGTTGGGACCCATGAAGATTCGTAGATTGAAAACATCCTGCTGCAGCTGCGAGAGCTTGGGGATTTGGAGCATTTTGTGGTATTCCCCAAAACGAGAGGGTTCCAAGAAATCCTTTGCGAAGACTTGAAACAACAAAATGTGTCAAAATGTTGCGGCTAACTGTTGTGGAGATCTTGCGCGGGCATCGCAGAACTATGTGCTGAAAAAGCGTGAAACGACGGGGCTTCGAAATCTCCAAAGATCCGACTATCTGAAGTAAAACACATGAATCTCCTCCATGCACATCCCACTTGCAAGCCATGTATGGTGGCATAAGCTTGGCTTTTGACAGGAAAAGTACCGCTGGAATGTTTTCCCAGACCACACCACGATTTCCACGCCCAGCTTTTTGGAAACATTAACTCTTGGTCGAAGCGAGTCAGCTCTGCTTTGCTCGCAAATCTACCTGGCCAAGCTGAAAAATCAAAGCCGCTCAGTCATACTGAAATGATCTGAAATGTTCCAACATGTTCCAATGTATCGAAGTATCAGAGAGGCATTGGTTATTGAAGTCAAATACGCTTAAATGGCAATAGGTCAACCCAACCGGTACAAGTGAGTTCAATCAATCTGGATCATAGTCGCAAAGTACAAGACATGGTTGGCTTGTTCTTCTGGGGACGGGGGGTGCTTGCTAGGCTGGCTGATTCTTTGAAGATGAAGTCGGGTTCATTCGACATGTATTCTTGAATGATGGTGACAGGTCCGGTTTCTGTATGCAACATCACTGAGCAGTTCAGATTAAATGAGATGTTACATTGCAGTCCCGCTCAATGCAACAAATCACAGTCACACCTGTGATCGGCCCTCTGCGTCTTGGAATGGGACAACCTTGGCACGTCACAAATGACATCCACCAAGGAGTCATGGGCACAAGCAGGCACAGCTGGGCACAGGCTTTCAGTGTCATGCCAAACTCTTGGAACCATTGATATAGATCCATTTAGAGCCTCTTTCAGCCTATTTGTCAGTCTTTCTCTGCCAAACCGCATCAGTTACTCAAGGATACTCAGGGTGAATTGGCTGAGAAACCTCGAATGGCTTGATGCCACACGCCGCGAATTCCCGTCGCATTCGCTGCGAGTGGCTCTCCCATTGCCTTGGCTGGATGGCTTCCGGCTGGATGTGCTGCGGTCTCTTCTCTCAAATGGAAGTTTTGAATACCACAGTGAGACTTTTTGAAACATTTTGAAGCATTTTGACACATGTTGAAACATTTTGAAACAACCTCATGCAAAATTCATTCCAGTGTCAATGCGCTTGTCATTCTTGACTTCAAAACTTGGACGAACCGAATCCCTTGCATTTATTGCTGAACGAATCACCTGCCGAAATCACATGTGATAGTGGCTCCATCATACGAATTCATACGATGCTTTGACGATGGCACATGGCACACATCTCACAGCCGTGCACCGAGCTGCTGTTCAGAGACCTTGGACTCCACCTGAGCTGCAAAATCTAAAAAAAACAATGGGTCAACATCGAACGAGTAGCCTGGAAAACAGGTCCCCGCTTTTTTTCTCAGCGTTTTGAACACATCTCCTGGTCATTTTGGCGATATAAATCTAAACAAAGTGTGACAAGTGTGATAGGTGTGCAGTTTGAACAGTTTAAACATTGCAAGCATACCCAGTAAAATCTATTGAAATCTCTGTTCGACACAGTGCTGAGTGAAGGCACTGATTGCCAACGGATGCCGTCGGTGTCATGTCCCAATTGCTCCACCGCTTCCGGGATCGTCATGGGGATCTGTGCCTCTGCAGAATGCGGGAGCCAAAAGGAGACGCTCATCCAGTCTTCGACGACCTCCTGGAAAAATGGGGAGGCTTGTGAGGTTTCCAGAGCTCCGCATGATTTGTCCCCCCCAAACATGCCCTGTTTGCACAATACGCATCAATTCACTCTATAATGCGAACTTACCTCCCGAAGGTCCAGATCCATGAGAAGGTCTTCACATGTTTTCACCCCTAAATAATGGGCAGCAAAACCAAACATGTGATTCAGGAGATTTGGAAGGGGATTCATGGGATTTAGATGGATTTAGATGGATTTAGTATGAGAAACGCTTTGAATCCATTGGTTTTCCACTAGTTTTTGAATTCCAAGAATTAGGATGTTCTAGAAGGGTGTTGTTCAATAGGGGGTGACCACCCATGTTGATTATATAATAGGGAGGGACCAACCCAAAGTAGTATTGCCAACAATTTTTTGGACTGTGGGTGTTGATTAATTCGGGGGTGATTATTAATATGAACTTAACAGTATACACTGACCTGTTGCAGTGATATGAATCATGGAACTGGCAAAAGAGTCATCTTGAGGTAGCATATTTGCATGGCTGGGGGCTGGGGATTGAAGCAACAGTTCTCATCGGGAAGTCAGTTTACGATTTCGTTCCCATCTCTACCAGTCTTATCGCATGTATTGACATATCAGAGCCTTCATCCAAACGTGGAAGCAACGGTCCAAACAGTGGTCGTCCTGCTTGTACTCTCGCAAGGATACTACCTGTGTCTCGTAAGGTCCAGCGACACTATTCCAGTACATGAATTGCGGAGCACCGGGTCGGAGCACGTTATCTCCCACCATGATGGCTCTGTCAGAGAGCATGTTGAAGTCAACGATGCGTTGCAAGTCCTTGGACCACCATGGAGCACCGTGGAGCACCGTGCATGTGGAAACGTCAATGTTCAGAGGATAGCTATAAATGTATCCTGTTTGCAGCTGCATGGAAAGTATATGAAAGATTATGAAAAATATATAGTAAATGCTGCAAAGCAATGGGATGCAACAGGACTTGAAACTCGCTTTGCTGTTTCAAATATGCATATTCATGCATACTCCAATTTCAACAAGTGACTGTTCAGTACAACAATTGGCCCCTGAAGCTCAATGTCCAAGAGCCAAGCCACCAAATGCATCTTCGTTCCTTGCTGGTCAAAGAATAGGATGTCAATGGACTTCTCTGGCAAGCGCTCTTTCAGTCTTGGAATCAGATTCTCGCTGTGGCCACACCAAATCTCGATGTAGTCCTCTCATTCCATGGGCTAAAGGCCAGATATGCCAGAAGTCTCTTCAGCTTGCACATCCATATCATCCATGCATGGAGTTCTGTACTTTTGCCATCTTATGCCATCTTATGCTCACAAGCTCCTTCCTATACTGGCTGCTTTACTGACTTTACTGACTGCTTTTAGTTTCTTTTGATTTCTTTTGGGTTTTTTTTTGGCTCTTGCCTCTTCCTGGAACTTACGCCGAGCAACGGTCAGCCCAGCCCATTCGATGGTGTTGCGAGCAATGGCAGCATGGTAGGGATCCACCTCCTCAGCGCCCCACAATGGTGGAATGTTATGGAGTTATGGAATTTATGGATATTCGATGATATTCATCCTCAGAAATTTACTGTAGATCCAAATACGGTTCTATAGGATCCCAGAGGTATTGAGTTGGTGTTGACTCAAGTCATTGAACTCGTGCGACTTTGTCACCTTGGAATTGTAGCAGCAACTTTTTGCCGAACCCGCGGAATACGGTTTGAAGTTTAAATCATTTACCATCATTGGCAAAACATATGAACACATAGAACAATTACAAAGACAATTCGGAGTTCACAACATGTCACAGTTTCTTCAACTCTTTCTGCCCTCTTAATAAATGAAACACTGGTGGAACAAGATCAAAATTGTCAAACAAAATCATCAAATCACCAAAATATACCAAAATATATCATAATGGCATCTGTATGGCCTGCATTGCCTGCATCGTGCTTTATCAAGACATATCAAGACTATGAACCTCCTGCAGCTATCTGCAGCTGAGAGTCCATTGAGATCACCTTCCCTCCCCAGTGGCGCATTTGCGAAGCCATTCGGGTGGAGGAATAGCCGACGTACAAACCAACCTCCACCTGCTCGGAGATGCTCGGAGAACACATGATCGGCATGATGCACATGGTCATGTCATTACCTGGCAATACCTGGCAGAAGTAATTTTTCCCAAATGTTGTGACAATCATCTCCATATCATCTCCTAGTATCAGGTGTGCAACTCCACAGTAAGTTTATGAGTTTATGGATCTTCTGGTTGCTTGACACATGCAACTCAACCTTTGGAATCTTTTCAGCTTGCCCAAAGAAGTTGATTGTTGAGAGACTTTCAGAGAATTGGATCTGAAGGACGATGCCATTAACCTCTTTTTGCTGGGCAATGCAACATCCACCATGACACACTGCAGGCTACAGTAGGTTTCCCAAACATCCTCGGACCAGACAGCTGCAATTTGATATTTATGACTTTCAGACCAAACCCAGCTCTCTGGGTCCGAGGTGCAACAAGCTTTGCTTTCCCTTGCAATGCCAAGACTTTGTCCAGAACAGCGCCTGGATGGCATATGGAGGCATCTGGGGTTTACATGGGTTTGGGATTTGGTACATGTTTGTTGATCAACTTTAGTGGGATGAGCTCATCCAACCCTAAGGGGTGGCTGCTAGGTGAATGACCAACCGCTTTGACATTGAAACAAACCAGCCATCGCTTTGTGCCTTTCTCATCTCCTGCCAACTTCAACCACAGCTCCTGGACAAGGACAAATATTGAAACACATACCGTAGTATCATAGGGAACTGAAACAACATGAAACAAGTATCCACCAACAGCACCTACACAATGCGAAGCGTCAGATTCTATGTGATCAGCATGTTGCCCCTGATCTCAGGTTGGAGAGAACTGGCCCAACTCTCTTACGAGTATGTCAAACAAAAGCCAGCCATGCTGGAGCTTAGTGGCATCCCTCCCGCCATTGGGTGGGGAAAAAATATGCTGTAAGTATATACATATTTGGCGTCAGGAATCTTTTGCCTGTCTTCGTATATTACATATGAGTCGTAATATGTCTTCACTGGAACCATCATCATCATCATCATCATCATCATCTTCATCCGAACTTCCGAACTTCATCCCTTTCCTAAATCATTGGCTCATCACCAAGTCCCACCCGAGCTGCCCAATCCTGCTCACGAGTGAAGGCTTCGATGGCTCGATGGATCACAGGCACATCCTGGAAGCATCTCGAAGCATCTGGAAGCTGTATGAGGTAGTGGATCCTAGCTAGTTTGACAGTCAAATGATGTAAGCTGTGTAACGCCTGTCACGATATGTCAGAACCTACCAGGATGCAGGTATTCCAGCAGCCCAATTCACAGATTGTCACATATGGCCAGGCGTTCTCAAATGTCACTAGGCCACTTGAGATTACTCCAGTATGTAGTATGCCGGGTTGGTTGGTTTTGTCCTGCGCATAGGTTGTGCACACCAGAAATCGCACAACCAGCCAATTATATCCAATTATATAAGTAGAATCAACCTGGAACGTGCCTTTGTAAACCCTGAGCCATCAGCGCAACTTTATATAATATCTGTTCCATGACTGATATTCTCTGATACTGCACCTGGCAACACGTGACTTTGGCACGTGACGTTACGAAGTTACACATTCGGACTCACTCTAGTCCGCTGTTCCTGCCTGGTGCTTGCCGTTCCTGAGGATGTAGTGCAAAGTGCCGACTTCCTTGTAGTATTCAATCCTTGGTTTCTTGCTTCCACAATGCCTGGGAAGGCTCCCTGGTCGGTCTCCCATACGTTTTCCCCTCAGGTGTTTGACAGGTCTGGATATGCCATGGTGATTTTGGTGCAACACCCCAACATCCGTTCTACTGACAGCAAAGCTTTTGTAACGCTTGAAGAGAAGTGTTCGTCAAAAACTGCATCTGGGAATACAGGGTGTCTATGAGCGTCTGAGTCTGTCCTCAATTTGGACCAAAAAAAACTAGTCTCAAGAGTCAAAAACAGAATTGTTCGAAGTTCTATGCACTTTGCACGTCAGGCCGCAAGTCAATGAACCTACAAAGGACTGTAGTACACAAACCGCTCCTTGAAAGTCCCACTCCTGGATCGCCAAAACCAAATGATTTCGGGGATGGTTCGGTTCCGCAACTTGACACACATTACATCACTCAGCAACCTTGCAGGTCCCGGATGAAATATAATGAAATTCGCATATGTTAACTTAATTTAAATTATCATATATATATATATAATTGTATCGTAATACATGATCTCCAAGAATCTTGTTGAGTCGCAAGCTGAATCCCAAGGAATTGGTCACCCACTCATGCTCATCTTTCTCTCGGCGTCGCCAGTCGATGTTCCCCACAGCGCTGCGAGGTGCTGGTAAGCCCAAGCGTTGCCGGAGGACTTCAGACAGCGGATTGCCTGAGCAAACAGGTACGATTGGTACATAACGCACATAAATCTTCATAAAGATTCATAAAGGATCAATAAAGGTATGACAGAATAGATTTGCTTTGCTATAATGTAATGTTGCAGTAGACATTATAACAGTAGAACGTTTTTGGAGGCTGTTTTGGGTGGGTCTTTCAGGGTCTTCCAATCTGATATCCAACGAAACAGTCAACTGGCTTACGGGTTCCCTCGCACTTCACTTCTCTCATGGGTTGTCATAGAATCATAGAGAATGCTAGGCAAAAGTGTGATTCGTTCATTACAGGAGTAGAAATCAATAAACCAACGAGTAGGTGCCCAAACCGCAGAGAGGACAACGATGCTTTAGTCAAAAGATGTCAAAAGTACTTTTTGCATGGAGATCGGCTAGTTCCATGCAGTGACCTGTACTGACTATGCTACCAATTGATGCTCGCCTGGAGCTGCTTGGAACGCCTGGAGCCCCTAGCGACCCTAACATATCCTAACATCTCCCGTTGCCATGTCCTGCCACATGCCACATCCCAGGTCCAGGCTGCAAAGTTCCTCCATGTCCATCACCTGCAAGCTCCTCCGTGCCCGTGACTCATCTCCCAACGTCAGACATCTGACAACCACAGCATTCCAACAGGCCCCTTGCAAGCCACGCGTGTGTGCCGTCCTGCGGACACTCAATGCTAGGCAATTTCACCGGGATATTTGATTCTTTGACCTGCAACAAAACTGGTGCCTGTGACATACAAAAGTCATACAACGCCCATTTGCTCACCCAAACGCTTTAGACAATGCCTGCGTGGTGATTCACCACACTTATGTAATAATCATTAATTATATAATAATGTATATTAATATATTAGTAGTATATATCTTAAGATACAGTACAGTATCTCATACATATTTCAAACCTTCAGGGAACTTCTTCTTTGTTTTCGCACTCAGGTCCTTGCCATTTGCTCAAAGACATCAATCTCACGCTGTGGGTTGCGAGTCTCTCCAGCAATAAAGAGCCAGTAGCTGTAGGCTTCGCCGCCTGCTTGCAGGCCTGGGTCACATCAAAACAGGCAATGTAATGATCTTTTGGCAAGAGCAAGCACTTTTTGGCACTAATCGAGGCAAAAACTTCAAGATTTTCAAGTTAAGGAAAGCTCGGATGCAGCAAAACATGTTCTTTAGGTATTTAATTATTTAGTACCGTGATCGCCATGCGACTGCGACAAGTAAAACATTATATTTTTCAGCCAATCACCACTCACAGGTATCATGTACTGTCTACCAACAACCTGGCTGCACGGATTTGGATTGACTACATTAGACTGCTGCGACCCACTGGGGGTGCTCGACAAAGTAAGCGCTATTACCCGTGGGCCCAAATGTTTCTTCATCCTAGAGCCTTCATCTCCTTTGGAAATTCTTCGAGAAAAATGATGAAAACTGCATACCAACTAGTGTAAAATCACATGATATCCTCAGACAATTCGCAGGTACACAGTAAGTACACAGTATACTATGCACACAATATGTCTTGTACATACGGAAGCAGAAGCCAATAGCACCACCCTTTCGGAAACCCATCTTCAACCGAAGGACCATCCTTGGAGATCTGGTCAAAAAGGTGCCATGCAATGTCTGTGAGGCCCAAGTGGTGAAGGGATAAGACAGTCATAGCCAGCTGTGCCCTGCTGCTCTTTCCCAAAGGACGGACTTCAGTCAGCTTGTCCTGGGAGTCCAACAGATAAGAACGAGATTATACATACGATACAGACGATGTGCACACCGATACACACTGTTCGTTATTGTTTGTTGGAGCTTGGGCTTTCTCCAACTTCCTCCACCTGATTACCTCCCTGACTTCACATACTTCCCAAATTCAATCGATCTATTGATTTAGTTGTAAGCCGCTTCACTGTTGAACCATGTTGAACCAATGGATGAAGATGACGATGATGACACATCTCACCAGCCCAACCGAGTAACATAGAAGCCACTCGCTGCTGTGAGATGGTGCTGCAATGCAGCCATCAAATGTCGAGGTTTTGATACAACCACTCCATAGGCCCAAACGGTGTTGGAGAGGTTCTGTGGCGTTCGAGCCAGGTATTCGACACCTGCTGGCTCCATTCAAAAACAAACAAAAATGCAGCCCTCAGGGTCAGGGGTCCGAACATTGTCCAAGTGTCTGGAGTGAGACCGGCCTCTCTTTACGATCTCATCAGCTGTGGTCTCAAAGAGGTCAAGGTTCTTTATTGCTAACTTCGCGTAGGACCAAAGCCTCGTGATGCTGGAATACGACAACATCCAACAAACTATGAATTCTGGATCTTCCATGATTGAACACATTTTTCACTTGTCAAGGAGAAACTCCTGGTGCACCAAACTGGTTGTGTGATCGAATACTCATAGTACCGCATACCATCCTTTCAAATTGAACACCTAGCAAAATCATGAAGACGAAACATTGGGTGTCTGTCACAGCAGCTTATCTTCTCCTTCAAGTACCATTTCTTTCACCTGTGGTCCCAGTCTTCATCGTGTCCTGTCCCTTGCCTCGCTACGTCCTTGGTCTGACCTCGTTGCAATCGAGTAACACATTCGACAAGTGCTGTGGGTCGAAGTTGGAGATCAGCCAACCCTGCACCTGAACAGACATCGCTTCGAAGAGATCCTGATGTCCTCAGGAACGCCGTGACGCCGTACGTGAGGCTCAACCATCAACAAGAGATTGCAACAACAGCATTCCTAGATCAATCCAACCTGCAAAACGATTGGTGATCACACCCTTATAGTCAATGTTGTCTCCAACGCCTTTGCAAGCCAGGGAATTGAACATACTGTGACACATTAATATTGACATATATTATTGACAAACCTTGCCAAGTATCCAATTCGCAGTGTGGCGAAGGACCAAACCAGATTCGAGCAATTCCTGAGAAATCAGAGGCAAACACTGATTTCAAGATGTGGAGTAGGTGCTCACACATATGAAATCATATGGGGGTTGTCCAAAATACCTTTTCCCGGACAGCCCTCAATCGCTCAGCCAATCGCGTAGCAACCGCGGTACCACAGTGAGCAATCGCGGAAGGGTTTGTTCTTCGTTGATCAGATCATATACATAAAATATAAGTTATGTATTATATAATGAGGATCCATGCGTGAACGCATTCGATTTCAAATTTGGGAACAAAATAAGCTCGCGCGGTCCGGAAACGGTCCGGAAAACTCACAGTAGTACCAGCAGCAGTAGTACTAGTAGTACTAGTAGTACTAGTCGTAGTCGTAGTCGTAGTAGTCGTAGTAGTAGTAGTAGTAGTAGTAGTAGGAGGGGTAAGAGTAGGAGTAGGAGTAGGAATAGGAGAAGGAGTTCTAGTAGCAGGGCAAGGGAAGAAAGGGAGAGGGAGGGAAAGAGAGAAAGAGAGAGAGAGAGGGAGGGAGGGGGAAACAGATGGTTGCGTTTGACCGGTTTCTGACGGGTTTCTGACTGGTTTCTGACTGGTTTCTGACTCGTTTCTGACCCTTCAGCGGAACTCGTGTCAATTGGATTTAAAAGCAAGAGCAGAAATTCCTAGGTGTACTAGTGGTAGTGGTGGTGCAGTAGCAGCGGGTGTGGTGGTAGTACTAAGAGTAGTAGCAAATCTAGTAGTGGGAGTAAGGATCCATGCGTGAACGCATTCGATTTCAAATTTGGAAGCAAAATAAGCTTGCGCGGTCCGGAAACGGTCCGGAAAACTCACAGTAGTACCAGCAGGACTAGCAGTAGCAGTAGCACTAGCAGTAGTGGTAGTGGAAATTGCAATAGGAGTAGGCGTAGGAGTTCTGATGGGAGGGTGAGGGAATAGGCAAGGGAGAGAGAGAGAGAGATTGCGTTTGGCCGGTTTCTGACGGGTTTCTGACGGGTTTCTGACTGGTTTCTGACTCGTTTCTGACCCTTCACACGAGTGCAATTGGATTTAAAAGCAAGAGCAGAAATTCCTAGGTGTACTAGTGGTAGTGGTGGTAGTGGTGGTGCAGGGTGGTGCAGTAGCAGCGGGTGTGGTGGTAGTGCTGGGGGTAGTAGCAAATCTAGTAATGAGAGTAAGGATCCATGCGTGAACGCATTCGATTTCAAATTTGGGAGCAAAATAAGCTTGTGCGGTCCGGAAACGGTCCGGAAAACTCACAGTGCACTAGCAGTAGCAGTAGCACTAGCAGTAGTGGTAGTGGAAATTGGAATAGGAGTAGGCGTAGGAGTTCTGGTAGGAGGGTGAGGGAATAGGCAAGGGAGAGAGAGAGAGAGGTTGCGTTTGGAGTAGGAGTAGGAGTAGGAGTAGAAGTAGGAGTAGGAGTAGGAGTAGGAGTAGGAGTAGTAGTAGGAATAGTAGTAGTAGTAGCAGTAGTAGCAGTAGTAGTAGCAGTAGTAGTAGCAGGAGTAGTAGTAGTAGTAGTAGTAGTAGTAGTAGCAATGATAAGAGCTGAGGTGGATGGATGGATGGATGGATGGATGGATGGATGGGATGCTAGGCAAGTGCTGCCTTTTTGGTGTTTCTAACCTGTTTCTGACCTGTTTCTGACCTGTTTTCAATTGGAGCTAGCTTGAATGTCCTTCTGACCTGAAAACGTCTGCGCGGATTCCGCGCGCGCGGAATCCGCGCGGCCATGTCAATTATTGGCATGGTTCTGGTCTCGAAAGTAGTCGTAGTAGTAGTAGTAGTAGTAGTGGTAGTGGTAGTAGTTGTAGTTGTAGTAGTAGTAGTAGTAGTAGTAATAGTAGTAATAATAGTAATAGTAGTAATAGTAGTAATAGTAGTAATAGTAGTAATAGTAGTAATAGTAGTAATAGTAGTAATAGTAGTAATAGTAGTAATAGTAGTAATAGTAGTAATAGTAATAGTAGAAGTAGCAATGATAAGAGCTGAGGTGGATGGATGGATGGATGGATGGATGGATGGATGGATGGATGGATGGATGGGATGCTAGGCAAGTGCTGCCTTTTTGGTGTTTCTGACCTGTTTCTGACCTGTTTCTGACCTGTTTTCAATTGGAGCTAGCTTGAATGTCCTTCTGACCTGAAAACATCTGCGCGGATTCTATGTCAATTATTGGCATGGTTCTGGTCTCGAAAGTAGTAGTAGTAGTAGTAGTAGTCGTAGTAGTCGTAGTAGTAGTAGTAGTAATAGTAGTAGTAGTAGTAGAAGTAGTAGTAGTAGTCGTCGTGCTCGTACTAGTAGTAGTAGTAGTAGTAGTAGTAGTAGTAATAGTAGTAGTAGTAGTAGTAGTAATAGTAGTAGTAGTAGAAGTAGTAGTAGTAGTAGTCGTCGTGCTCGTACTAGTAGTAGTAGTAGTAGTAGTAGTAGTAGTCGTAGTAGTCGTAGTAGTAGTAGTAGTAATAATAGTAGTAGTAGTAGAAGTAGTAGTAGTAGTAGTCGTCGTGCTCGTACTAGTACTAGTAGTAGTAGTAGTAGTAGTAGTAGTAGTCGTAGTAGTCGTAGTAGTCGTAGTAGTCGTAGTAGTAGTAGTAGTAGTCGTAGTAGTAGTAGTAGTCGTAGTAGTAGTAGTAGTAGTACTAGCAGTACTAGTAGTAAAAGTAGTAGTAGTAGTAGTAGTAGTAGTAGTAGTAGTAGTAGTAGTACTAGTACTAGTACTAGTAGTAGTAGTAGTAGTAATAGGGTGGTAGCCGTATAACCAATCGCCAACCAATCGCTCAGCCTATCGCGATGCAGGTTTTAGCAATCGCGCAAAGCAAAGTAAACGCATCAATTCATAAATTTGTGACCTGCTTTTACGGACGGCTCCCATATGAATTACATTTATGATTTTGATTTGATAAAAAACACCAATGTCCACAAGTCGTTACCTGCTCCTGAAACTATTTGCAGGAGGTCAAGACCGATCCAACATGTGCGTGGATAGGACGTTGCATCTAAGTACCTGCAAGAGTGTGGCGAAAACACCTCCTCGTTCCCCAATTGATGCGGTTCAAGCATCTGTGATGTGAACTGCGGCGACATGGCTACAGCGGACTCTGCAATCCACTGGAAGAACTTGGGGTCTCTCAATCCGACCTCATCGTCTTGAGGTCAGCAGAGTGGACCCAGCACTTTTCCTCTCTGAAACTCAGCCTCTCGCGCGAAGACCATCATGACCATCCATTTCTTTACCATCTTTACCCCACAAATCATGACCATCACTTTTCGTGTCTTCAGATTCTTCAGGTCTTTGGGATCTTTGGGTCCAACTCCCATCACTTTTTGATACTTGTTGGCTGATGGATGCTAATGATTTAATGTGATTATAATATGATTTAATGGTGGCTGTTTTTCGGCATCTTCCCATCCCAGGGTCCCAGGGACTCGTCTGGTGGACATCTCGCCGTGCCAGCCGGCACTAGCAAAGGCCCAGGCCAGGTTGGCCAAGTTCAAGGGGCTGCACTTACCTTGCTTCCCATCTTCCCAATGTGCCAAGTGGTTGGAGCCCGATTTTGAAGCCAAGAAAATCACAAGAAATCCATAAAACCCACAGCCTGATGCACGAGGAAATCCAAAAAACATCAAAAAACATCATAGGATACCATAAACTAAATTAAATGACATAATTTAAAATTGGATAAACCATGATAACATCATATAACATCCACAACTTGACATCATGTTGAAAACTCACTTGCTTAGGACATCAACCCAGCCAGCCGCCACTGAGGCCACTGAGGCCGCGGAGGCCACTGAGGCCCAGGGACGGTCCGATTCCATTGCCTCGCGGCTCAAGACGTAGAAAAGCCCATCATCACGGTGAGAAATCTTGGCCTCACAGATCTCACAGCGTCGAAAATTCATGAAGTGAATACTAAGTTACTAAGCGAATGGAAGATGAATGGAAGATGATACAAAATGAAACAACATGATACAAAAGATTCATGACAATATGACAACATTATGACAACATATTGGGTAGGAAATTGTTTGTTTTTTTTTAGTTTGGGGATTTTTTTTTGGATTTCCGGTTCTCACCATTTTCCATGCTATTTGCAGCATTTTGGAGCTGGAAACTGCCATTTCCACGGTATGTGCAACGGTTTTGAGTTCGAACCTCTCATTTTCCATTGTATTTTCCACGGTATTTGCAACAGTTTGCAGCATGTTCTGTCCATTTTCCATGCTCTTTGCAGCATTTTTGAGCTGGAATCTGCATTTCCACCGTATGTGCAACATTTTACAGCTACATTCCTCACAGTACTTGCAGGATTTTGGAGCTGAAGGCTGACATTCCAACAGTTGTTTGTTGTTACTGTTACTGTTGTTGGTGTTGGTGTTGGTGTTGTTGTTGTTGGTGTTGTTGTTGTTGTTGTTGTTACCGTTAGTGTTGTTAGTGTTGTTAGTGTTGTTAGTGTTGCTAGTGTTGCTAGTGTTAGTGTTGTTAGTGTTGTTAGTGTTGCTATATATATATATATATACAATATATGTATACAATATATATATATACAATATATATATATATACAATATATATATATACAATATATATATATATACAATATATATATATATATACAATATACAATGTATATATATATATATATTCTAACCAAACTAGTGTATTGAAATGTGTGCAAGCTTGAATTTAAATAAAAAAAAGCGGGAGGGGGGGATTGGGGGGGAGGGCTGAAGAGGGGCCCTAGCGTCTACTTCAAGATCAGCTAAGGCGTCTTCCCCAATGACAGCACTCTTTTACTCTCAGCCTGTTGCCGGTCAGTGCTTGTCTACAGGGTTACTCTATATACCTCTTTCTTGAGCCTTGAGGGCGCATATAAATGTGCTCAATACTCATGCATGTACCTATGTAGGTATTAGGTCGAAACAAAAACACAGGCACAAATTCAAAAGCAATGAGTAGAGCACTACGCCTTGCCGTACCCAATTGGTATTAAGAGTATCTTCCTGACTTCTCTACACAATGGCAAATAGCAAAAGAAACCGGAGTTACGCAGTGGCTTCGAATTGAAAAACACGTGAAAGCAGCGAATGTCCTAAGGACATGTCGAAAAATAACAGCGGATTCGCTAATTTTTCCAGTAGTGACCAATGGTGCTTCGCGCACGGTCTCTCCACAGGCAAAATGCCTCGCTCTACCGGTGAAAGTTCGAATTGAAAAGTTCGGGTTCGCAAGATTCAGAAATTCAGGTCATACGAAAACAATTGACCAAATCACGAAATAAACGGAAATAGCGGATCTCCAAAGTTGCTCATTCAAGCAAACAATGGACTGAAATCGAAGTTGGTAAATTTTTGAAGTTCGCTCCATTCGGAGTGGTCTGCTCGCCGGATGATTCATGGAGATAAATGTATATAGTATCTCTATTTACAAGAGTCTCTATTTTACATTAAATTGAAGTTCAGACACTTGTGGCATTATCTCTATCTAAAAGAGTATATGCCATCTGTGTGAAATAAGTTGAACGCACAGAAAAACTGTACACGGCTTCTCATGCTGTGTTATCTTCAATTAAAGAAGTGTACACTCACTCATCGCCACTCACTTGATCTCCATGGTCTGGACGCTGAAGATGAGGATCCACCCCACTCTGTGTTGCCCTGATACGTCGATGCTTGATCTTCATATGCCTTTCTCTTTTTCTCCTTCTGTCTTTCCTTTCTTGAATCAGCATACTGCTTCTTCTTGTAGGCCTGTTTGTAATGATGTCGTTCATTCCATGACATATCAGAAGGATCAAGATGGATAAGAATTGGATTATGAGCATCGCGATCATTTGGAGCAACCATGAAGATGTTGTGATCACCATGTAAGCAAGTTTCATTTACCTTGAAGTAAAATTCACCCACATAGTTCATGTGATCTTCATCCTCAAAGTCTTCTGGGTGTTCCTCACACATCAAACGTGAATGACCCCACTCAACAACTGTTAACATACAACAATCACCTTTACCATTTGTCTTGTTCATGAGCTCGTCGGTGTATGTTGCTGTTGTAATGCCATCCAAGTGCGTTGCAAGAAAATCCAAGTCACGATAACTGCAAGAAATGAAATGCTTGACCCTGATTGGAGGGCAAGTTGGATCAAAATTCTTGCGCATGGCTTGTGTTGCAACACCTACCATTCTGTTAATCCAGAATTGGATAAGGCTGTGTTGATATGTAGGGACACCTGGAGATTTTGGTGTGCTGTAATAGCATGCCTTGTTTCCATCACCTGCGATGAAGTCAACTTGATATCTGGCACACTCAAAAGCCATAACAGCTAAGCACTCACCAACAATCCCAGCAGAGTCTGATGCATACTTCTGTCCGACGTGATAAACGCACACACGTGTCATTCTCATCCTAGCTCTTGTCAAGTCAACAATCTCATCTGTATCTCGATCCTTTGTCTTTCCCCAAGATACTTCAAAGATTGCCCATGAGACTTGTCGAACTCGTGTGTCGTTGTCATCTGTGTGATATCCAGCAATTTGCTTGATATAGCCATCCTTTCCAAGGCGAGCTGCCACCATCAAGTCATGATAGTCATTGAAGCAAGTTTTAAAGTCAACCTCGTCGAGTCTTTCTCTGTGAGGATACAACGAACCAGCCTCGCAATTCATGAAAAGATGTCCTCCAAAGTTCTTGATGACATTGATGAAGTAATTGTTGAACTGTGATTTGGTTTCATCAAATTTTTCATGATCCTCATCGATAGTGTAGTCAATGTGTGGAATGAATTGTTGAAATCTTTCTGGAACCGGGCATTTTTCAAATCTGTTTCTGCACCAGTTTCCCAAATTCCAAAACATTGCTGTTATCTGTGGAGAGGATCTGTATGGAAATTCAGCATCCTTGTACGTTGGGTCTGATAGGCCTCCACCTAAATACCTGTAAGCCAAGCTATGCAAGATCATACAGTAAGGCAAGACCTTGTGGTCCTCAACGTAATCTTGGAGTACCCTTGTGAGATTTCCAAAATCGTCATCAATCCTCTTTTCTGCTTCTTTTGAGGATCTTTCTGCTTTGTCTTGATGAAGAGGATGCATCCTTGGATCACTACAACCATATTCAATGCGCTGATTAAGTTCTTGTAATTCTAGTTGTGGATCCTGATTCTTGTGTCTGGCAATGTACTCAACCATCAACTGGTCATCTGTAAGATGGTACCAAAAATCATGATGTGGAGACATGGTCTTCCTGTACTTAACATGCCAAAACATATGTCGATGCTTCGAAGACGCTGGATAACCTTTGTTGTAAAATCCTGCCCATTCACCATGGTAACCATCTGAAAAACAATCCTTCAATCTTCGAAAAACTGAATCATCTTCGTTTCCAGTGATATCTTGACCATAGTAAAGTCGAACTGCAGGTTTCACTTCAGGAGCTGTCTCATCATCTTGAATGTCTGTCTTCTTCTCCCCTGATTCCTCCTTTTCTGAGGAGCGTTCAGGTGGAGCTGATTCCTCTTTCTCTGAAGAGCCTTCAGCTGGGACATGTGGCTCCTGTGTGTCTTTTTCTTCTTCTTTTTCTTCGTCAGCAATCTTCTCTTCTTCATCCTTTTCTTTCTCTTGTCCTTCTTCTGGTTTGACAAAACTTTCCTTGATCTTTCGTTGAACATTCTGATTGCACATACTGATCCATTTCAATGTACACTCAACCAATTTGTCATCATCAGTTTCCAAAATGATATGTTTGTCCTCAATGTTCAAACTTTCAATGGTATGCTTGTACTCAGGATCACCTGCGCCTGGTCTTTGAAGATCTGGAAGTGGAGTGTTTGGATCATCGTCCACCATATGAGGATCCTCTGCTCCAAAGAAATTTTCTGCGCCAAGGTGTTCATTGTCCTTGAGAACTTGGTCAATATCCAGTTTGAACTCATAGTACTTGTCGTAAGAGATCTCATAACCCATCATAGGTGCATACTGCTCCATAAATGTTGAAAAAGAAGCATCTGATAATGCCGACATCATCAACCATAATGAGAAGAAGCTTATGTCACCACGTTCAAGGGGTCGACTTCCTTCAAGATCATCTTCTGTGAGGATTGATTGGCCTTGGAGTGTAATATCATGGAGGATCTGTCTGTGCTCTGGTTTGAGTTGCCTGACTAAGAACAGTCCCTGTCGATCTTCCATATTTCTTCGAGGATTTGCATCAGGTAATACCTCACTTTCTTGTTGTGGTTGTGTTTCCTCTCTTTCTTGAGAGCATACACCTTCTTCCTCTCTTTCCTGAGAGCCTGATGCCTTTTCCTCCTCTTTCCTGACAAAAACTTGTAGTCTTGGCAAAAACTCCAAATCATCTTCAGCATCATCATCATCGTGACCTTCCATGTCCACATTCTGTTGCTCTGATCCTGGGATGTGAGCGATCTTGTCCTTTCCAGCTACCCAGATGTAGCCATCGAGCTTTGTAGATGTGTGGAAGTCACCTGAACCGCATTCCCTGACCTTTGTCCTTGCTCTTGCAGATTGATGGAATGCTTCATGCTGAAAGAATTGATTGTAGGCATGTTCAACAAAGAATCTGTAGGATTGAGCTGTCAATTCCTTTCTGCTATCCACAAATTGTCGAAGCTTGTTCAAAGCAAAAACTGTGAAATGGCTGAAGCTAGCAGGTGCTTCATCTTCATACAGATCGATTGCCATGATCATCATCTTTGTGGAAAACGAGAAATGCCGTTCAGGTTCTGGGATGACTGTTCTCTTGTTCATGGGAACTGTAATTCCTTGAATAGTCATGTCATACCCATGTGTGTTCAACTCCAGTGCATCCAAAATGTTACCATCACGGTCCTTCTTTCTCCTGCAGAAATCTCCCCA